AGGATGGTGACTCTTTACTCGATCGCATCGTTACTGGTGACGAAACATGGGTGAAACATGTGAACTGTGAAACGAAATTGCAATCAATGCAGTGGGGGCACACAAGTTCTCCCCAAAAACCCAAGAAATGCATGCAAACAATGTCGGCAAGGAAGATGATGGCGACTGTTTTTTGGGACAGAAAAGGTGTAATTTTGGTGGACTTCCTGGAAAGAGGCACTACAATAAACTCTCAAAGGTATTGCCAAACTCTCCAAAAACTCAGAAGAGCAATTCAAAACAAGCGCAGAGGAATGTTGAGCTCTAAGATCTTGTTGATTCACGACAACGCCCGGCCCCACACGGCAAATGTCACTCGTAAAGTTCTTGAATCTTTTAAGTGGGAGTTGTTTCCTCATCCGCCGTACAGTCCCGACCTGGCACCGAGCGACTTCCACCTATTCCCAGCAATGAAGAAGTGGCTGGCTATGCAGCGTTTTGATGACGACGCACAGCTGCAAGAAGAGGTAACGAAGTGGTTGAAGGCGCAGGCGGCCGAATTTTTCGACGAAGGAATTTCCAAGCTCGTACATCGCTACGATAAATGCCTTAATTTGTATGGTGACTATGTAGAAAAGTAGTATTTGAGTGTGGCTTTCATCTGTATATAATAAAATTTGTTTCCTATACTTTGTTTATTTTTTTTATTCCAAAACGTAATCTACTTTCTGGATAGCCCTCGTATAACTTAAAAGGATTATTCAATTTTTATTAATAGCTGGTTATTTTTTAAACCTTAATAGAACAAATGAAATTAATACTCAAAATTTTGATCAGCTAATTATACTATTAAATTTTGGTGCGAAATTTACGGAGAAATTAAAAAATTTATACTGCCACTGTTTTTTCAGTTTGTGCCAAGAATAGTTTTCCTTTTAACATTGTGCGTGAGAGGGAAAAAAGTCACATTGTTCTTTCTTTCAAATAATGTTCTTTATATTGTAAAATATTTTTTTTTCTTTTCCGAGTTTTAATTGTTTTAGTTGCATGGTTTCTTTCAAATAACTGTTTTAAAAATTTCTATTTACTCATTATTTATTATTTTTCTAACTGTGTGGTTCAAATAAAGCTTGATCGTTTATTATTTTTTTCAAATAGTTTTCTTTATACTATATTTTTAGTCATAGTTATTATTTTAAGCAATTTTTGAATTTTTTAACTTTTATTTTAATTTTTTGTGTTGCATTGTCTTTTCAGATAATTGTTTTAAAATTTTCTATTCATTCATCTGAACTACACATTTTAAATGTATTTATTAATATAAATTTTCCAGAATTTGATTTTATTTATTTGAATTGCGTTTCTTTCGGAAGAATACTTTGTTACCCAGACTATGATGCATTTGAAAACTGCATGTATTAAAAGAGAAAATGCAGTAAAGCACAGTTAACACATATTTCAATGTTCCATTCAGAAAAGATACATAAATAAGAGAGATATATATCCTACATTTTAATTTAGGATAACTTGCATACATTGCTTTAAACGGTTTTATCATTGTGCTCATTGCTTTACACAATTTTATCATCCTATATTCAATTTCTTTAAATGTTATTAACATTTTAGTCATATATTTTATTTTTGAAATCACAAGATTCAAATATCATAAAATTAAATTAAAAAAATAATAAATTTTAGGTAAAAATTTACTTTTTCTTCTTAATGGCTTGCTCTTTTTTTTTTTTTTTTCCAGGCATTCTGCAAGTATATTTAAAAGTATCCAACTTTTCAAAACATATTGGTATTTCTGATATTAATTTTAAATAAATTTATCGCCTTCCATTTCAAAAGGGCCCACAAACGGCCGACCGGTAAAGTCGCTGAATACTGGTACTTCACTTTCGAATACTTTCGAATTTCGGGTTTCGAATACTGGTGAATGGGCTGGTTGCATGGGTGTTTTTGTGGTTTTTCTCACGTGTATTGTGTATACGAGCTGGTTTCGCTTAGAAAGTTTTTCATGAAGGCATTCCTCCTTTAAGGCAGATAACCCAGCTTTGCCTTAACTTAATAATCCAAATCAATCCATTTCATCAGTATTTTGTCAGAGACATTAAAGTCATTACAGGCTAAGCATTTTGAAGGCGTGAGATGAAAGGAAAGACCGGTTTCATCAGTGTCTTTAGCTGGAAACGTCACTGGATAAATTCTGGAATTTTGAAATAATTCAACTGAATTATGGGATGCTCTGTTTATGATACTGTATGATGTTCTGTGAATTAAATTAAATTTATACAACCATATAGTCGAAAATCAGTCGCTCTTCACTTTAATCTGCATTGATATCGTTTTTGTCTTTTCTGTTAGCACAAACTCAATTGCTGCTATTTGCTGGTGTACACGTCCAAGTGCTTTCTCTTTGAACACCCAACTTCCTTGAAGTAGATTCCACTTTCAATTTTTGCTTCCCCCCCCAATTTCCTTCTTTCCTTCTACATTTGTTTTCAGTGCTGACACAAGAAAATTAAGATTTTTAGATTGTTACATAAATTTTGCATTCTTGTCAAATTTTTTAAAATATCAGTTCCATTAAATGTGTTTCAGCTGAAGACAGCTTATAGACATTTTAACTATAAATAAAGTTTAAAGGTCCAAAAATTGATTTTGTTTAATTACTTATTTTAGTCCATATTTTCATAAACTTACATTCATTAAGATGATATTTACATTATTAAAGAAAGTAAGAAAGCAAAATATATTAAATTATAAGGTAATACAGTCAAAAGTCGTTAATTCGAACACCCATAATCCGGACCTCAAAGCTAAAAACTTTCTGCGCTTGCGCCGAGTTGACACATGCGCATAGGCATTTACGCGTGCGCGTAAGACCTTTACGACGGCACATATGCGTGTGCGCAAGCGCAGAATATGTTTTCGAATACGCGTTTAATGTATAACGGACGGTATAAGCTAAAATTATCTAATTATCTATTTCAGTTAATGTTGATGATTGCGTTGTTCCTTAATCTTCGAAGTGGATCCAGCTTATTATTTTTTGCAGACAGTAAGAGCAATTTTATAAAAGTAAACTTGAACTTTCGATTATGTCAAATAGAATTTCCGATGCTGGAGCTCCCAAAGGATCTACAAAACGAAAGTATGTTTCGATGTCCATCAAACAAAAAGTGGAATTGCTGCAAAAAATGGATAAAGACATGAAGAAGGTGACAAACGAAAAAATTTTCGATTGACAAGTTAGTCGGTATTCTCGGCACAGCAATTACTTGAACAGTGGAACTTTGTAACTGAACAAGAAATTGTCTGTTTATAAAATTAAAGAGAAAGTATTATCATATAAAACGAAGCAACTTAAACAACTTACATTGAAAGAAATGTTTAATAAAGTAAACAAATAAATATTAAGCTTTTTTTTTTTTTTTTTGTAAATTTTGATACCCTTTAGATCATAATTGTTCTTTATTTCATAAATTACGGTTTCATATTTTTAATTTTAGAATTTCTGCATGCCCTCTTACGAGATTTAAACTGATGATCAATAATCTGGAAAAATCGATAATCTGGAATCGCCGAAGTCCCGACGAGTCCGGATTAACGACTTTTGACTGTATATGCCAAGTAGCAAAACTTCTGATGACCGGATAAAGCCGGTCATAACGCTCAGAGAGTTAATGTAAAACTTTATGTTTATATATATGTTTTGTAAAGCTGGGATGTGACCCAAAGTGTCAATGTCTTGTTTGCTTAAAAAATTGTGAAAATAAATATCAAGCAGACTTTTCTCAGTTTTAGACAATTAAATTTGAATCAAGTTAAAGTAGCAGACGATAACACGACGAAGGTAAAAAATGTGCTCTTACAAATATTTTTTTTAAAACAAATAGTTAAAAATTTGAATGATATCATCTATAATTTAAAAAAATAACTTTTCATATAGTTTTAATAAATATTTATTACGTGTCATTGAGGAAAAAAATTTCATACAATTAATTCTCCATAAAAATTTATTTGAAATTTGAGGTAAAAAATAGCTGTGGCAATTCACTGTAACAAAATCCATTAACCACATTTGGCGTTATTATCGCTCAAAAAAAGATGCCAAATTTCAGACTGCGCAAATATGTAAATTCGTCTATATCTTAGAAAATTTTGAATAAAAAAGTCTAATTTTTTGCAGGTATGCTAAGAAATACACCTACTTTAAGATGATGGTAAAAATTTTATAGGTGATAGTTCACAATTTTTTTCAAAAAATTTATAAAAATTATTTAATACAAATTTAAGAAATAAATCATACAAAATGGGAGAATTTTATTTGTAGTGAACTTAAATTTTGAAATGTGAAAGGAAGAATAAAAAAGGTTTAATAAAAAATGAAATGTTAATAAATGTATACCAAATTCAATTAACATTGAGGAGCTAAAATTTTGAGAGCTAATCTTTTAAAAACTACTCGTGCGATTTTTACAAAACTTGGTAGTCTGGCAAATAAGGAGTCATACAATCAAAATATGGAAAAAAAATGGCATGTCATTTCATAAAAAGTCCGATTTTGTGTCAAAATACCTATGTTAGAATGATGCTATATTTAAATCTAATATATATCCTAAGTCATGCTTTCAAGACATAAAAAATGCAATTTGAATTTCGCCCAGTAGAACGGGAGATATAGAACTGTCTACTTTTTTTTTTTTTTTTTTTTTTTTTTTTTTTTTTTTTTTGCGCAATGTACATAATCATTAATAAACGTGTCTGTCCATAAAACTGGAGTTCTTATTCAAAAAGTTTAGAAGAATACCCATGTACATTCTGTTATTTTCAAGAATTCCATTAAGACACTTAACTTGATAAAATGTTTGGAAAAACTGGCAAGTGTGTGACACACTGAAGATAAACTTGATGTGTTTGTTACTTGGCAATGCTAATTTTCAGAATGACCTATTTGATATTTAATTTTATAAAGGTATTTAAACCCCTTTGTAAATTTTCAACTTTTGTTTTAGTTACTGGACCATTATCTGAGCTACAAATAGCATATAGCTGCAGAGAAACTCTGAAAGGTCTGGAATATCTTCATTCTCTTGGAATGATGCACAGGGATATTAAAGGAGCAAATATTTTACTCACTGACGATGGAGATATTAAACTAGGTATATTACTTGATTGTATTTTAGTATAATTATGTGTTTTATTTTGTTATAATTTGTACCTGCATACATGAATGTGTGCTGTATGCTATAATGGAAGGAAAATTAGATTTGTATTTGTTATAAAATGCAGGTAATTCATATCTTTGACTTTTGATATTCACTTGCCATAAAGACCTGTCACAGATCTGTTGTGTGAGCTAAAATATTAAACTGGAATGCAGTTTTCTCTTAAATGTAAGCTATTGATCTTGAAAGGGAAATTTTAATTTTTCTTAATATGTTGAGTGCCGCAGTGATACAAATCATTAAATTTTATTACCCAAACTGAAACTCCTATATATATATATATATATATTGCATTTCTTAGCATGTGAAATGAAGGAGGAATGAAAGTAAAATATGATTGAAGCGATTTAGTTGAATCTTATATTTTGTTTTAAGGGTATTTAGAGTATATTTATTTATACGTTTATTTTGTTTAAAGGTAAGTATTTTTTTTTTTTGGTTCATTGAGCTCAAAAAACAGTTACAGTATTTGACAGCATATAAGATGCACCCTTATTTAGAAGGCCATACACATGTAGATGTAGAAAAAGTTATATGTGTCTAGACCTTTATCCGAGCTAAAAATAGCATTCAGTATTGAAAGTTAACCTGTGTCCTTCACGTATAAGATGCAGGTAGCTTTTTTGAGACCAAATTTAGGAAAAAAAGTGCGTCTTATATGCCTTCAAATACGGTAATTCAGTACACTGTGCTGAGCATAATTAATAACTAAAAGTCAACCTTTATTTGGCATTAAGTTTAAACAAAAACATTTCAAGATAATAAGAAGAAACTAATAAAGAGTTTTCCTTACTGGTCCACTATTGGCTAAAACTATGAAAGACTCAAAATTTTCTCCAAAGTTAATGAAATGAGAATGCATGCGTGTTTTTTCATTTCCCATACCTGAAAAAATAAGAGCCAGTTTTCTTTCAAAAGTAATTTTTATGAGTGTGTCCTTTCCTAGGCATATAGCCTTCTATGCTTAACTATGCTGAGCCATTGTTACTATTTAATTTTTGATCCACAATATAATTTTAATACTTGTGTTTAGTAGTTTTTCTACGTATGTACATTGATCTTTATTAAATGAATTTAATAACGATTGTGTTGAAATTATGTGTTACTTGTGATTATTACTTTTTAATTTTTGATCCACAATATAGTTTTAAAATCTGTATTATTAATTTTTTATGTATATATAATGATTTTTATTAGTATTGATTGTACTGAAATTACATATATATTCAAGTTATTTAGTATACATTCTCTACATTGTTGCATTTGTGTTAATAATTTCTAAACCTATGTTTTACTAGCTGATTTTGGAGTATCTGCACAAATCACTGCCACTATCAGCAAAAGAAAATCTTTTATCGGAACACCTTATTGGTAATGTATTTTCTCCCTGTTCTTGTGCTTTATATCAGCAAATAAATATATTAACATGAGAAAACTTCTCATATGTTAAATATATATTTGCTTTATGTGCTTATGTTAGAGTATTAAAATGAGGTTATATCTGCTTAAAATTGTGCAATAATCAATTGTTAAACAAAAAGTAATGCATTTTTTTAGGATGGCTCCAGAAGTAGCAGCTGTTGAAAGAAAAGGTGGATATAATCAACAGTGTGATATCTGGGCTGTGGGAATAACAGCCATTGAGCTTGCAGAACTCCAGCCTCCAATGTTTGATCTCCATCCTATGAGAGCTCTTTTCTTAATGTCTAAATCTGGCTTCAAACCACCCACATTAAGTGACAAAGTCAAATGGTATTGTATTTTAATCTTGTTAAAATAGTCTAAAATAAAAGAAAGATTGGATTAACAAGTAGCTAAGAACCATTTTCATTACATACTATTTCAGTGTTTGGTTTTTATTAAATTCATTTTAATAAAATTGAAGAATTGCTTTATTCTTATTAAAGATTAGTTAAACATATGTTAACCCATGTGCAATGAAACTTCGGTTCGCAAATTCGATTCGTTTTTGAAGGCTGTGTGTTGGCCAAAATATTCTTAAACCAAAACAAGTTCTCCCATAGGAATTAATGTCAAATGGAGTAATTTGTTTCTGACCATAGATAATTATGGAACCAATGGAAATCAGAAGAAATGAAGCAAAAGATATAAACACAGTTTTAAAGAGTAAACTATGCAAAAATTTAATTTTATTCCTTCTGTATGAAGGAGGGTGAATGACATAAGTGGGAAACGATGAGGAAGATGTTATTATTTCAATGGGAAATTCTCTGATAACTAATAAATGATCAGGTAACTGTCTTTAGGGAAGTATCTTTTATCTTTAAGCACCTTTTAACTCAGCTTGAAATACTGTGGGCCTTTGTTTGGTTCAAAATTTATGTACTGTGATTTGTTATTGCTTAACCCTTTCGCGCCGACTGTCACGTCTACGTGCCAGCAATGAACACACTCACTTCCCGGCCGACACGCAGGCGTGTCAGAGCATTTTCCCGTTCAGTCCCAACTGTCACGTATTTGTGCCAGTGTCCTGGAACATTTTAAAAACTATAATTTCTGCCACAAGATGGCACTGTATGTCCATATGGTTTCAGATACATGTACATTAGACCTTCTACTTGAAATGAGAGAAGCATGACTCACATACACATGTTTTAGATTACATAAACAAAAGCTGAAATAAATGTTTCCGAATGGCGTGATTTATGACGTCTCTTTAAATTCGCATGTGGTAGTTGTTTATTGTAAGTAGAGAAGTTTTATTTTCGCTAAAGCGTTTGGTATTTCGAAATGAAGCAAAAGATATAAACACAGTGTTAATGCAGTTCAGTTTTTAGGAAATAATTAGATCTTGTTAGAGTCGAAAATGTTTAACAGAGCATGAAGTAGCAGAAATAATGCAAAATATTTCAGATATTGATTCTGATATTCTGATATTGATTCTGAAAGATTAACTGAAAGACATTTTCCAAAACTTTGTTCAGAAGAGACTGATTAGAAAATGAGACGACGATGCTTCGTTTGTTCACATTCCCGGAAAAATCCTCCAAAACGGCAAATGAGTTATTACGAGTTCAAGGAATGTAACGTAGGACTGTGTGTAGATCCCTGTTTTTAAATTTTTCATACGAAAAGAGAATTTTAAGTAATATATTAGTTTTCAGATGTATAATGTTAAAAAGTCATAAAAGGGTGAGTAATGAAATAAAATGTGTAAAGATGCATTTAAACAAGAATAGGTAATTAAAGTATATATATAAAAATATCTATAAAGCATAAGCCATTTAAATACTCTATAGAGCATTATTAAACAATGCGTTGATACTTCAGAAATTTCATGGATTTAGTGAGTTATACGATTTGCTTTCTTTGTTTCATTTTTATGGGAGTGTTAATACTAGTCAAACAGTTCTTTTGAATGTGGAACATAAAAAGGACTGGGGATCATTATCACTAATATGAGCTCTTCCATGGTATCAGATGGTGATTTAATGGCATTAAATATCTCCAAAATGGGGATGTGAACCTAAAATATGTATCAGTGACGACATGCTACAGTTTTGGGAGGGGGGATGTAAGAGAGTGCTTATTCTCAAAAATTGTTCTATTTGTTTGAGTGGAATTCATTTAATCAAATAAAAATTATGTAGAATTATTTAATTATATTGTAACAGTGTGGTTATTTTTGCAGTCTAAAAACTTACTTATGCTTTCATGCACAATTTTTGACCAAAGTTGGAATGGAGATTAGGCAGAGTCAATAGCTATACAGTCAAAAGTCTTTAATCCGGACTCGTCGGGACGACGATTATAGATCATCAGTTTAAATCTGGTAAGATGGCATGCAGAAATTATAAAATTAAAAATATGAAACCGTAATTTATGAAATAAAGAGCAATTATGATCTAAAGGGTATCAAAATTTACAAAAAAAAAAAAAAGCTTAATATTTATTTGTTTACTTTATTAAACATTTCTTTCAACGCGCGCATGCGTAAAGCATACATTACGCATAGTCGAAATTAGAAAATTGCAACCAGAAAACTATTTGATGTGTATTCGTGATATTTATAATGACGAGGAATTTGATTTAAATCATATCAAAGACGGAGTACATCGAGATGAAATACTACATTTAGTAAGGAATTATAAGCCGAATAAAATAAAAACATCTGCCCTGAAGATAAGGATAGTGCTGACAGATCAACTTCCAGTTCATTGCGCGCGCGACGTCCCCCCCCCCCGCCCCGCAGAGCAGCGTGAAATTGATAAACAGATTTCGGAATGGTTAGAGAAACAAAGGATATGCCTTTATCCATTTTTTGCAGCAATTCCACTTTTTGTTTGATGGACATCGAAACATGCTTTCCTTTGTAGATCCTTTGGCAGCTCCAGAATCGGAAATTCTTTTTGACATAATCGAAAGTTCAAGCTTACTTTTATAAAATTGCTCTAACAGTCTGCAAAAATAATAAGCCGGATCCAATTAGAAGATTAAGGAACAACGCAATCTGCAACATTAACTGAAATAGATAATTAGATAATTTTAGCTTAGCTTATATTGTCCGTTATACATTAAACGCGCATTCATAAACGTATTATGCGCATGCTTAAAGGTATTACACGCATGTGCAGAAATGCGTAAATGCAGAATTGTGCAGAATGCGTAAATGCATTATGCATTTGCGCATGCGCAGAAAGTTTATAGCTTAGAGGTCCGTATTATGGATGTCCGGATTAAAGACTTTTGACTGTATACAGATTAGATTAAACAGTTGTAATGCAGATTAGGCAGTCTTTCTATACTTTGCTTGAAAAATCTTTCTGTACTTTGTTTAAATGAAATAATATAATTTAATACACACAATTTTAATTTTTGGCAAAATCTTATTCTTGATATTAAATTGCATTAGAATGGTCATAAAAGCAAACTGAGGTATGAATTATACTTTGCTTGCTTGGTCCTGGAGTGCTTGTGATATAGCTTCATGTTTATCCATTAAGAATGGGAAAACAAAAAAGTTGTTATTAAAAGTAGCATAATCTTTAATGTTCTCTTCTGAACCCAGTTAATGGTGTGTCTGTTTTCTGAATTTTGCATTTTTCTTTATTTGTAGTCAATGTTTTCTTCTTCTTTAATTAATGTGGTATGTAAAAAAATTAACTCCCTTTTCCTAATCATTATTTTACATCTGCCTGAAATGCATTCAGTTTTATGTATGGCATTTCAGTATATATAATATACAGTACCACAAATGACTGAAGTGTATTCTTTTAAGTAAGTAAATATATAAAAAAAGACTTGTTTCTATATAAATGTATATCTGGGTGACATGTCAGTAAAGCTGATTTGTGCCTTTTCTGAATTTTGGTCATGCTGAAGCTGAAAAATGTCATCCTGTGCCATATCCTAGTAACTGTGTAATATCTTATTTGATTTTATGTTCAATCCATGTGATCATTAGTTTTTTTTTTTTTTTTTTTTTTTTGAAGATATTATACAATTTTTATGGTGTGGCAAACGTTTGCTGTTTTAGAGCATGAATGTTTGTGGGTTGCCCTTGTATAAGTAAGTACCTAGGCTTGTGTCTAGGGCAATATCTGTATATACTGCAGCATTAAATCAGTTACTTATTGTCACAAAGAGCTTTACATGTCTATCTAAAATAATCCACTTTGTACACATCATACATACCCTTCTTGTAGCCGTCTCTCTAGTAATGGATGTTAATGGGGAAATAGCAGTTATTTGATTGCTAATACATCAGAGAATAGTGGCTGCGTAGTATAGAGATTTAATTATCATTTTTTGTGCAAAACAGAATCTGATACAATGCTTTTGCAGGAAAGGTTTGAGTTAGAATAAGTATATTATTGTTATTATTAACTGCATACATTGGCTTTAATTCTAGGACTATTATATTTCAAAAGTATTTTCACAGTACATAAAATTCCAGATAGTTTTATACACTTCAGATGAGCTCACATTTTTAACTTAATTATGCTGCATAAATCTACAGCTTTTTATTGCAGTTTGTCTTTTAAATTATGTTTTAAAGTCAGTACTGTGTGTATTGTATTTTCGTAGTTGTATTAAGAATATAAAATAATGATATGCTGCAAAACACCTTTTCTTTTTTTTCTGATGTTCAATTATTTAAGTAGATGCAATATAGATTAAATGATAACTACGATATTCTGATTTATCAATATTTTTATCGGCTGCACGTTGAAATTTGTGAATGCTTGCATCAATCAACATCATTTTCTCAATTTTGCTTAAATTGTGGACTTTCGTCTCATATATTTTAAATTTTTAAGGCCCATATAAATTATATTGTTTCGTTGTTTGGTTAAAATATTTTTATTACCTGTTGAAGTAAATATTTTCACTTGTAACCATCAATTACATTGATTATGATGTTTCTATTAGGTCAGCAGTCTTTCACCATTTTGTTAAAGTTGCATTGACAAAAAATCCAAAGAAGAGGCCTACTGCAGAAAGGCTTTTGCAGGTAATAATGCTTAAATAATTTCAAATTCCTGTTAGAATGCATATATCTCACTTTTATTTTTTTTCTCTCTTCGTATTCGTTTAAGTGCCACAAACATTAAATTCTTAGAATTAGTTATATTCTCTGTATTTTGGATAATACATGGAAATGTATGGCTTCTTGTTTCCTTGTGAAGCATCCTAATTTTAAATTGTATCATTACTGGTTTACTTCAGTACAGTATTTCTATAAAAAATATTTAAGTTTTAATCTTCTTTAAGGAATATAATTCAGGTAATTAACTAATTACACATATTTTGTTTTTGTTTGCAACCAAACTAGATATAATTTAAAAAAAACTATATTTAAATAATGTAATCATCTGAGCAATTCTTTTTTTATTATATTCATATGTGAAACCTATATTTTAAATGCAGTTGTGTTTTTTAAATTAAGATTGCTGTTATTAAGTGCTTTTTACATTTACAGCATCCATTTTTACAAGGAAATTTAGGTAAACATTTAGCAAAAGAGCTGTTGGACAAAGTAAATAATCCACACATTGCATTCCCTGAAGATGTTGATGATGATGGTGTAAGTGAAAATACTTTTTTTTTTTTTTTTTTTTTTTTTTTTTTATATAAATATAAATAAGAGGATTTCTATTCTTCAATGCAAGAATGAAATATTTCTTTTCATAATAAAAATAATCATAGCCCTTGTGTGAAATAGAATTAACTTTTTCTATATTTTTTTTATTAAATCCATACCATATAAAAATAATCATAGCCCTTGTGTGAAATAGAATTAACTTTTTCTATATTTTTTTTATTAAATCCATACCATATATTTCCAGCAGTATATTGTCTTATTTCTTTTGACACACCTTTGACTCTGTATTTACATCCCCACCCCCAGTTTAAATTTTCTTTTTCATGTTTTCTTCCCTTTTACTGAATATCTATTGAATTTTACTGAAATTCAGTGATAAAACTGAGATCGGTTTTTATGCCTGGAATCCCCTTCTTAAAAATGCAGCCACATATTTTTTTTTTTTTAATTGCAATTAATTTCATGATTTGGAATATTCCAAGAAAGGAACAAGTGGCTATTTTATTTCTTGAAGAAGAGCTATTCTTCACTAAGAAAGATTGTGTCGGAACTACCACCTCATGCAATTCAAATGTGGCTAAAAGCCAAACTAGTTCTGCAACCTTCATTCACGCTGGGATGGGATTCCTAACATAAATGGGATTTGCTACATGATGGATAGTTCTTTTTATTACTATGATTCATTCATTTATGGTGTTAGGGTTTAATAATGTCTGTTGACTTTTATGAACTACAGCTTCAAATGAATCATAACATAGTTCTTCATGGGAATCATTTCTCTGCACCTTGGCTCAATGCAAATTTTCTTTTTGAGAATAATATTTCATTAATTCCCTTGATTTTCTTGCATCCACCAATTTTAATATTAGGATAAGGTAACAAGTAATTGACCCATACTTCCTACACATAATTATTCCAATCAACCGTTGTGATGTGATTTATTTGAACCTTTAACTTTCAAAATTGGATAGGTATTAACTGCTAACATTGTAGTTAAAGGAATTGTAAGCCAGTAATGGAAGGATTGTGCATTTCAGTAAAACCATGTTTCTATGAAGACATCTTTTTCTTCCGTGCATAAATGCTGCATGGTCATTTTTGTTTTGAGTTACATTTTAATTTTACGAGGTGGTTGTTCAAGCTACCATCTTTCTTTGTGAAGAATATCTCATTCCTGAAGAAATAGAATTGCCGCTTGTTAATTTCTTGGCATATTTCAAATCATGAAATCTATTGCAGAGAAAAGAAATTAGAGGAAAAATGTGGTTGTGCGAGCAATAGGTATGAAGATATGATGATAAGTATTACTAGGAAGAAGCCAAACCAAACTAACACCGAAGAAATATGCTTTAAAAAAAATGTTGATTGCTTTAGTGGTGATGGGATGCTATTTTTCATTACATGTGTGAAAAGCAATTTGTGAAAGAATTATATTATTTTGTTAATTAATGGTTTAATTTCATATGTATTCTTATTGTAAATCATCCTTTTCCCCCAAAAAAAGTCAAAATTTCACTTAATTGTTTGACTGCTATGGTGTTTTCTGCAGTATGTTATTATATGTAACTTGCTAGAAAATTGTTTCTTGAAGATTTAAACTTGATATTTGCTGTAGATATCTGGTATATTTATATAATATATTAACAAATTTAGAATGTATATGCTTTTAGCATCTGAGGAAAGAAACATTAAGGTACAATTAATTAATTATATATTAAAATAGAAAATTTAGTCTTTTTATTAGTGTTTTTGACATACTCATAATTCTTAATGATAGCATATAAGGACAAGTGTGGCATGACTTTCAATAGTGCAGTTGTTCATGTTTATATGTAGTTTAAATTCACTTTAGCAGTTAAGTTGTAATTAGATTCATCCTTGCAAAAATTTGTTTTGTAAGAAGTAAATCTTTCATCTATTTTGTAGCTATATTTGAAATTTGAAATTAATAGTTATTTCAATAGAATGAGCAGGAGATGAATTTCAGATCTCTTCACTAGATATTCAACTTTTTGAGAATTTCTCATTTGATCTCTTATTTGATTTAGCATTGTACAGAAATATATTTTAAGCTTTAATGGAAATTAATTGCTGCTGTTTGTTATCTTGTAATAATCTCCTTTTTACATGCTGTGCTAATATACCATAAGCTTTTAACTAGATCTGTCTTCTGTATGTACTGAGTTTCACAATTGTATTCTGTAATTCTGTAATTAACTATTATTGTGTGCAATGATGCTTTGGTATTTCTGTTATGATTATTTTAGACTAAGCAGAAAATTTTTAACTTGGTTGCAGCATGTATGTATTTGTAATTTAAAAAAATATATACATATTTAAAAATATCCTCTACCATGTTTTATTGAACTAATAAACTTAAATTAACTTAAACTACAAATAAGAATCATTGCATATTTTAGGAACAATCCAACAAAATGATTAATGTTTTATCTTGCAGTATGTACACTGTAAAAAAAAGGGGGGGACAGTTCTATATCTTCCGTTTTACTGGACTGATTGACAAAATTCAAATTGTGTTTTCCATCTATCAAAAGCATGACTTAGAATATATATTAGATTTATTTATAGCAATTGTTCTAACATAAGTATTTTGACACAAAATCGGACCTTTTCTGAAATAATATACCAATTTTTTCCATATTTAAATTCTACAATTCAAATTATGCCTAGATAATAAATTTTATAATTTTCAGTTAGTAATTTATGGAGAAATTTAAAAATCTATCTTGGCGCTTTTTTTTTTTTTTTTTCAGTTGTGCCTAGAATAATTCATTGCGAATTCTATTTATAGCAACCTATTTTCCTTTGCCTTTTTTTGTGCTCAAGGATGAAAGCAATCATTATACTTTCAATATCTTAACAAAGTGCGTAAATCACATTTTTGTTGTTATCGCTTACAATAAAGACTGTAAATTTCAAAATGTGTCAAAATGTAAATTCACCTATATCTTGGGAAATTTTGAATAAAAAACTAATTTTTTTGCAGGTATGCTTAGAAATTTAAGATGACGGTAAAAATTTTATAGGTTATAATTCAAAATGCTTTTTGAAAAATTAATAAAAATTATTTCAAAATACAAATTGAAAAAATAAATCATAAAAAATGGGCAAATTTTATTTGGAATAAACCTAAATTTCAAATTCTGGAAGAAGGAATCAAGTAAGTTTAACACACACAAAAAAGAGATATTAATAAATATATATCAAATTCAATTAACATTGAAGAGCTAAAATTTTGAGAGTTACTTCTTTATTAACTACTCATGCGATTTTGTACAAAACTTGGCATAATTTAAGTTGTAGAATCGAAGTATGGGAAAAAAATTGGCATGTCATTTCATTAAAAGTCCAATTTTGTATCAAAATACATGCATTAGAACAATGCTTTATATAAGTCTAATACATCCTAAGTCGTGCTTTCGAGACATGAAAAATGCAAGTTGAATTTCGTCAACGGTCCAGCAGAATGGACGATACAGAACTGTCTCTCTCTTTTTCTTTTCTTTTCTTTTTTTTTTTTTTTTTTTTTTGCGCAGTGTACATTTAATTAGTATGTAGAGTGAAGAATTCTGATATTTTGTATTTAGTTTTAAATATATGCTTGTATATTTTTTCACAATGAAACCACTATCTGGTTTAATGCACAAAGTATTATATGGCATTTATTGCATTTGCATAAAAGAAAAGTCAAAATATAAAAGGGAAATACCATAAATTTTATGTTTTATTGATTAATTTATTATAAAAAATTCATGTTTTAAAGAATTTTGTTATTTCTTGATTATTGTAGCTTTTGTTTTTTAAATGCCACGTTAACACCAAATTATCACCAAGTTCCTGTTTGCTTCTTACATACTCTTTTTGGCTACTGTATTTCAACATTTGTTTTTAATTGTCGCATCAGAAGCATTTTCTTGTGCAAATAATTTTTACCAGTGAATTTTGCAAGATGAGACTCGTGTTGCTGGTGAACAAGGCCTTATTGATTTTTATTCTGCCACATAGTGAAGTGTTTCAGTCTTGCATCATTTTGTTCATAAATCAACAGAAATTTATGGTTCACAGTTAAATGTCTGTATCATGTTTTTTGTAGTTTCCTGTTTTATGTGCTCCCTAGCTGTTTGAATAAGTTATCAATCCCTTTTGTACATAACGATTTTCACCATGAGTGTGTCTGGAACCTTTGGGCAAGAAAGAATTTACCACTTCCTCAGCATAAGCCACCAAATATCCATTATTGTGGAAGAACTCTACTTAGCTTTGTTGTTTTCCTGTACAAATAATAGATTTTGATTTATGTCCACAAAATTTCTAAGGGATAGAATCACTTCTTTGATTGGCTAGTACAAGCAGTATGCTGAAACCTCTGATCCTGTCAACAAAACATATGCTTTTCCTTTATTTGAAACTTTTCATATTATAGCTTCAGATGCTTTCATTTATATGTAGTTGTATTTAATGGCTTCCTCATTTGTCGGTATGTCAAACATTTAAGAAATTTTATAAAACAGAAAACCATGAGAAAGTTATGAGTGATTGTGAATTGTTAACATTTATATGAAGAAAGAAAACATGATTCACAGTGATATGGGAGAGTATTTCTTTTATTAATTATTTTATTCCTAGAGTTAAAACTGGCTGATAGTTAAATGCCAGAATTTATCTTTTGTATCTGATTTTAAAAATATTACATATTATCTAGAAACAAAATCCTTTTATTCAAGGGAATACAATAAAATTAGTTATAGAAAATAAAATGGAATTTTCTTCGAGTAGTAACTAATCAACCATGCATGTATTGTGCAAAAGATTTTGAATTTTAATTACTTTAAAAGGCTCCAACAGGAGCCAGGCAATTAAGACTGATGACTACTGGGAATTCAGCTGAAACAGACTGCCTGCATGGTTGTTTTACATGGTTTGTCCATGTGTAATGTGATTACAAGCTAGTTTCTCTTACAAAGTCCTCCATGAAGGTATCCCTCCTCTTAGGCCAATAGCATTCATGTGTTTGTGTTCTCATATTCAAATAACCTAGCCAATGGCTTTAGATAAAAAAGAAAATTTTTATCATTCTGTTAACCTTTTGAGTTCTTTGAAGTTTCTGGATGTTTGATCAATTGCCTCAAAACATATGTTTAAATGAAGTTTCTATACTGTTAGCATAATTGATGATTAAACTTTCCATTTTTATTGTGCTATTAGATATTGCTGCTGAAGTGTGTAATCATTTATTCTAGAGTATACGAAGTAACTCAGTTTGAAGTAATAAATAATTTAAAATGTAGTTTATTGCACTGTATTACAAACTGAGTCAGTAACCGATAAATTCCTATTCGTTTTTGAAGATATTACCTGATGTGCCTCAGCGTATTACTTCCAAAAAACCAGCCAGAGATAAGCAGAGAACCAGATCAGAGCTTCACAGTAAGTTAAATTATTATTAGTTTTGTATTTTCATTAAGATTATTTTATGGGAAAAAAATTATTTCTTTAAAATTATTTTTTAGTGGAAAGTGTTAACTTTGATCCCCCACTTATGACTGCACTTTCAACTTCAACCGAGCAAGTAAGTAATATTATCAGTTGGAAATGCAATAAAGAATTTATTTGTATTCAATATTCTTATTTTGTTAAATAATAAATAACCTTTAGAGTCTTGAACTAAATTGTTGAATCTTAATTTAGAATCCCGAAACATCAACTGTATCAGAAGCTTGGGGAATATCTGAGGTAAGTTAAGAAATCATGAATAAATTATTAAAATTTAGAGGAACAACGAAAACTTGAATTTTAAATGCATCTTAATTTAGACTAAATCGTTTTTGTTTATCTCTAACTGGTCTTTATTCTTTTACTTTTTTAAAAAAAAGTAATTTTTTCCCCTTTAATATAGTATTTTGTGACAATGTATCATTATTGGAGAACATTTTAAGGCAACAAGAATCAGTGTAGCATTCGTATATTTGTAGGACTAGCTTGAAAAGTTTAAGCATAGAACCTTTTTCTTCAGCTGCAAAACTGCAGAAGTTATCAAATTATGCTGATTCTTGTTGCTTAATACCTTCAATAATCATTATTTCCTGTATTATTTTAACTCGACAGTGTAAAGGTTGAAGTGTATTGACTTGAAATAATCTCGTATTGATACTTCAAATACAAATTTATAAATATTCTGGTTTCTAACTATTGAAAATATGTAATTTTCAATAAAAGTTGGGAAATTTTATGTAAGCTATAAATTCTTTTCCCCATTTTAGTGTATCTAAAAGTATATTTTATATACACCATATCTTTTTTGGAGGTTTGTTAGGATTTCAGTATAATGGTACCTATTATCATTTTTGCTTTTCTGAAATACAAAGAACTCTATAAACCACGAGATTTTTTTTTTTTTTTATTGACAGGTGAATTTATTTATTATATACATATATGCATGTGATTTATCAGCTTTCAGAAGTTACTTGGAAACTTTTTATGAACAGTATGTTTTATAGTTTTAAACTGTTTAATCATTTCCAAATTATTTATTTGTTCTCAGGATTCTACTCATAATGATGTATATGATTTGCCAACAGCATGGATGGAAGAAGATAATGAGTCAGATGTTATACACAGGTAACAATTTATGAGTGTATTTCTTTTAATCCATGTATAAATTTTGATCCTATGTAAATGATTAAGTTATTCATTTATAAATGCAATTAAATCATTTTATATCAAATATAAAGGCTCGGAAGCAAAAGGAATTAGATTTATTTAGTCAGTGTGGTCATTTGGGAAATCATGAATTTCTATTTTTGCTATTTTTATACAAATGCAGTTTTGGGCTTGTTTTGTATGTTTAGTTTCATGCCAAGCTAAATGCATATTACTAAACAAAAAGTATAAATAAGATTGGTACTTTTCCGTTTAGCTGGCGCAAATCTCGCCAAGCAGACTTTATTGGCAACAACACACAGTATACACATAAGTAACAAATATTAGTTCTAAGAATTTTTTATTTTGAAAGCATAAACATTTTAATATTTAAAATTTTGTAAAAAGACAAAAAATAAAGGCAATAAATTTGTAAAAAGACATTAATTTAAGAATTTACTATGATCTCCTGGTTCAGCATCCTGATTCACCGGTTCATATCGCATGACCCCAAGTGATCTCATCTCACGTAAACTATGCTACATAAATCTAATTCTGTCAGTTATCTACATTAATTTCAAGTTAAATCTTAAATTAAATCTTATAGAATATATTATATAAATTTAAATGAAAGAATTATTTCAATTTGTACGAATAGCTTACTCAGAAATTATGTAAAACCGCAGTGCTTTACTTCACTAGAGCATTCTCATTAGAATCGATGAATTTAACTCATGACTTCGCTTTTTCTATATTTTTGCCTTCGGGTGATTGCATCCTAATTGACTTAATTACCGCGAAAGCCCTTAGTGTTAGAAATTACTTAAATGGCAGATATATTTTGAAAATATAGTAAAAAGAAATAAGCAAACCACAAATGCACATTACATGTTTATTTACTTGGCTAACTTAAACATGTAACATGCATTTGTGGTTTGCATATTTCTTTCTACTATATTTTCAAAATAAAACTGCCATTTAAGTAATTTCTGTCATGTTATCAGCACAATATGCTCTAAAGAAGTTTTAGCAGAAACAAAGAAGAAATTTTGATTTTTCTGAAAGAAAAAGAAGCAACCTCCACAGCGCCGGCGATGCTAAGCCTAACACGTTGAAAGTAATTTCTATCACTTAGGGCATAAAATTGAACTGTATGGTAAAAATTCTATGTAATTTTATGCCAGTATTAAAAGAAACAATCAATAAGATCAGAAATTGTTGCTACTTGGTTTGAAAATCAAGCGTAAAAGATTACCAGCGAGAATATTCCGTTTGGCATCGGTTGTACCATCTTTGCCAACTTTATCACCTGCACCGGCAAAATGGAAAAGTAACATAAGATTTTCTCTAAAACCATCATTTTACAGATTTGTGGTTTTTTACAGACTTGTTTGGTGTTGATAATGTATGTCATAATAGTATACTTACTGTGATATCCATAAAGTCTCTAGCATGTGTAATAATGTGCTGTGTGGGTAATAAATGCAAGAAAACTACACATCTATTTGAATGTTAATAAATGTCAAATTTAGCACTTATTTGGAATTGATAAGCAATATTTTGTATTGTTTGTTAATGTAGTGTTACTGCTGAGTTGAAACAACGAACTACTGAATGAATGCATGCCAGACTGTAAAACAAAAATTTCAATGATCATTGTACTTATATGATTGAGTTATAGTAGTGTGATATAAGTGAGAAATATGTAAAACAACTTGTACGTAAACCAAGCCCTTCATTTTCATATGAACTGCATTTATTTTCACCTCATTTTGCAAAAATCTGTATAAAATTTTTGATTGAACAGATTTTCAGAGATTATTTAATAGTTATATGGCGGGACATGCCAATGTAAAATGAGGCAAATAAATAACCTTAGAATAGAATAAATTTTTAATAAAGCGTGAAAGGTGATCATCACAGGTTCCTCTTTCTCAGAGCAAAAAGTTTCTTTTTTCATCTGTTGCAATCTTTATCATTTTTTCATTGCAGAGTATATATAGCATGTAAATCTTCTGTGTTGTTAATTTAGTGAATTAGGAGCTGCCAATTATGAAACTAAGAATTTTTGTAATACAGTGAAGAACTCACCCTTAAACACAATATACTAAAACACTGATAATCATATTTATTAGGAATTCAGATAAAATATTTCTTTTCTCTTACTAGATTGCACTAAGAGCTGTAGGAGAAACCTCTTTTTTTTTTTTTCCATTGGTATAGTTGTCTAAATTTTTTTAATTAGTTTTCTTCTTCAGTTCAATACAAGTTAGTCAGAAATTTCGAGTTATGTTATTCCGCCTTTCTTTTTATTTTGACAGCCACCAGAAAATAAAGAGAAATAGACAGTGTGCAATAATATTTGAAAATAGCTGCTACATGAACATTGTCATTCAGTGTTTATCTGATATGTACATCATGTAGTAAAAGGGCCAGCAAAATAAAAGAGTGCAAAATAAATGACTTGCTTTTTAGTTAAATAGAGAGAATTTGTCGTTCCTTGTCAATTACAATTTCTTTAGCTTTTATTTTTCTCCCCCTTCTTCTTACTCATTGAAATAGTAAGTGCAGTTTCTAAAAAATTTTAGTTAGAAGTTGCTCTTATTTTAATTGTTGAACGTACATGAAAAATTATATACTGGTAACTACTTAAAAATTTTAGTCTCTGATAAATGATTAAAAGTTGGAACTGCATGGGAATAATCTCTGTTGAAAATCTAGCTGTAAATAAGTTATCTAATGAGTATTTGTTCTTTTAGAGACAGAGTATCAGATTCTTCTGAAGGAGGCAAAGATTTTCAGTTTACGCAGCAGTAAGTTATTATTTTTTTTTTATTGTCTCCTGTGAATGTATTTGATGATAGTGAAATAATTTAAAATATAAAAATGTTAATTTCATTTGTTATTAGGGCTACTTTACCTCTGAGTAATAGAGAAGATTATGGAACTACTCAGGTAAGAAATATTGTCAATGAACTATTAAAACTTTTGTAAATTTTTAATTGCATTTATCATTCTTTTTGTTATGTATTGTATTGTTTTAGGATGACGATGATGATGTGCCTGAGCATATTGCTCCTGGTGGCCATAACAGTTTTAACAGAAATGAACAATTGGGCACTTTACTAAATCGCAATTTTGATCAACTGGATGATTTAGGTAAAATATATTTTATATACTTTAAAGAAATAAACTTTTCATTATCATTTATTTGACTTTAGTTATGTGATTACTCAACTGTATATAACTTCATGATGATGCTGTGGCTGGTCAACTATTGTGTCATGTACATTGATCTTTAGAATCCACAACTCTCATTGCAGTGTCCTCAAAGGCTTTCAAAAATGTATCTTGTTTTGAAACTCATGAGGACTTCTGTTCTGGATTTCATCTTTCATTGGTTCCCAACATGGAGGTAGCATCTACCTTCTCAATTGTAGCTGGATACTTGCAAATTAAATATTAATTAAGAATCATGGCCTTACCCATTTCATTTCTGAGATTGTTGCTTAGGGTGCATTAGCACAGGCAAGTGATATTACTTGTACAAAAAAGACATGTTTCAGGCAAGCTCAGCACAGTAGTTTTGATTTAAGGCTAGCAGTCAGCTTGTTCTAACACCAAAGTATTCAAAGGATGATTAAACAATGTATAATTTACTGTTTATTTCATTCATCAAGTATTGTTTTCTTGTTCAGCTAAATACTTTTTTGTGTTACTGGTTTATGGCTCATGTTTCTGCTTTTCTAGTAATGTATCTTTTACTGTTGAGCTAAATAATTTTTTGTTTTACTGCTTAATATATCATACTTTTGCTTTTCTGGTAAGCATATTTACATATATTCTTATATATTTTAAAGGAAAAAAGTACTAGTGCACATGTATTTATTACAAAAAGTGTATATTGTTATATGTTACAAAAGGGAATTGTTTACTAAACACATTTTTAAGGAATATCTATATATCTAAAACTAATTTTTTTTAATTTAAAAATATTTATTATTTTATATTTTTACATCTTAATGAGCACTTGTGGAAAATGAATGAGTTTAAGAGAAGAATATTTTGGCAACATCTCTGAAAAGGCTGATAGTTAATATTTTGTGTATTTATATATATTATACATACCCCCTTTTTTATAAAAAGATTTAGTTTTAGACCAATTAATTCAGTTTTATTTTATCTGTTAGAAAGGTACAGACATTCTACAGCAGCTGCAACCAGTTCGGAAAATGAGGAGAATGTGAGGGCACCACCAGCTGTACAAATAGAAATAGCTCCTCCAGAGGTGCCACCTCGACCTAAAGATAAAAAAAGAAATACGCCTCCTGTAAGCTAAGCAGTTACCCATCTTCATTAAAATAATTTTGAAATAATATATGCTTTTTAGTGTGTGTAACCACTCTACAATTATTAGTCCAAAATAGCCATTAATCTCGAAACATGGGTTGAGTCACTTTAAATGCCATGCACTATAAATGCATTGTTTCACTTTTTATTGGAGCCTTTCACCAAAATGTAATATATTTATCTTTCAAGCTGAATCCTGTTACTGATTAGTAAACCAAGCTGTTGAAGAGCAGTAGATGTGTTTCTTAATGTAATTTTTTTAAACATTATAATTTGATTGATTTAAATAAAAAGGCAAATTTAATTCATGATGTATTTAATTAAAGGATAAAATATTTTTATAGAATTATGTTGTATATTTCTTAACTTTTAAAATATAGAGAGGATATATAATTTTCATGTGTTAATCTAAATGTATATCCATCTAGTATCATAGTGGTCTGTCTTTGTGAATAATCTCTAATAAACCATATTAAATTTTAATAGGACCATCTTAAGTGACCATTAAAACTTTTACCCTTTCATTTTCTCTCTCTCTCCTTTTTCTTTCTTTCTTTTTTTTTTTTTTTTTTTTTAATATAGTTGCTGTTATATTTTTTAAGCATGATTGTTTATTTGTTTTTACTAAAATAAATTATATTATAGAGGCCTGTATCCAATGGTCTTCCTCCTACACCAAAAGTACATGTAAGTAAAAATTTCTACAATTACTTCCTTTTCATCTTTTTTCTTTTTATTTACTGTAAAACTAATTATACGATTGGAACTAAATTTCATTTACTCTGTTTTACATATATCTAGATATAAGAAAATACAATGGCTGCTACTCCTACATATATGCCTGCTTTCATGAAATTTTCTTATTTTTTAAGGAAACTGCATTAGTTTTACGAATTCACACACAAAATTCCATTTTATATAAATTTTATGATTTTTCATAAAGATGCCAAAAATTAGGTCGGTTTAGTGAGTTATTCGAAATTCTACCTTTAAGCAGTTAACTTTTATCACCATTTGGATTATTATTGTGTGATTTTCCTTCTTTTTTGAGATCAAAATTGTTTTGCCTTTTAAAAGTCTGAATTCTTCCATTATGCATTATAAGATATGGCGATTAATTATTATTTTAGTGGTTTATGACATATTTATCAAAAATTTTGATTTTGAATTGTTTCAGGCCCAAACAAATGTAATAGTTTTATAGCAGTATATTAGAATAATGATATTATCTTAAAATTATATTATTTTAGAAGAAATGTTACATAGTAAGAAACAAAGCAAAACAAATAAACTGGAAAAAGGGGGAAGCAAATTACAAAAAAGGGCAAGTAGGGAAACAACTACACCCTTCCAGTCTTTGATCCATTTAAATTAATTAATTGCTTTTTCACCTAACATCATGGTATAATGAGACATTTGTGAAGAATTCTATACTTTCATGCTTTGAGTAAAAAGAAATTTTACTTGTCAACAAGCTTCTTTAAACCATATGATGTATATTTGACTAATTTATTTATTGTAAGTCAAAGATATTTGTGATCATAAAATTCACGTTATATGCGCACACTCACACACCATGACTTGTTGATTTGGAAATGCATAATAAATATGTAGCTGCTATCAAGATGTTAGCAATCCTGTCAGTTTAATATTTTTTATTATATATTATTGGAAATCATATTCTTAAAATGAATTACACATCAAAATGGGCACAATCTGTGTGCCTCTTCTTGATCGCATTTATGCTTTTTCTGCTTTTTCTAATAATTAATTCCAATGAAAGAATGAGAAGCAAGGGGCAAGTGAACTAATCACAGAAGCAAGAGTGGTAATGTAACACGTCCAAGGTAGTAGATAGTAGTAGTGAGAGGGACATCGGAGACTTCATTATGGATCGATCATGCAGGTAATGCCCCAGCACACTAACCATCTTAATTAACCCCAAAATGGGGCCACTACTATATTACTGAGTTTGAGTGGAAGAAGTAATAAGCTGTTGTTGTGGATGAGGCTTCTTTATTTATGATACAAAAGCTGGTATTTGTTATATGATGTGTTCCATAATACATGTTCATCTGGACAAATCTCTGATTTATTGAAATGAAACCTTAGTTTTGTGTCACATTTCATTGGCTAATAAAAAGTATCGATTCTCAAACTGAAATCATTATGGGCTGAAACCTTTATATTTGTGCCTGCATCATTTGTATTAATGCAAAAAGCATATGGCATGGATAAATTTTGAAATGAAGCAATTAGAGTGATTTATTATAAGCAGTTGCTATTTTTTGGACAGGAAAAGGAAACAGCCAGATTAAAATATAGAGTTAAGAGACTATCGTAAATTAAAGTTAAAACTGTGCTTTACATACTTTTTAATATAGAGTTAAGAGACTATCATAAATTAAAGTTAAAACTGTGCTTTACATACATAGGCTATTCAGAAAGTAAGGAACATTTCCGTCTGACGTCGCTTGGCGTGAGCCGATCACATATATTTTGGTATTTGCATGCTCGGCATCTCAGTCGGCGTCCAGCCATCACAGCGGAACATTTCCATGCTGCCTGTTTTTTCAATATTCAAATTTAAAATCCCGTGAGTTGTGAGGTGCAGTCTGTGATATGGGTTTTGTTGGCAAAAAACCTAAAACCTATGGAAATTTATCGGCAAGAGTGTGAAGTGTATGGAAACAATTTAATGAATGAAAGTTCAATCCAGAAATGGTGCATTCAGTTTAAAAATGGCCGAAATAACATTCATGATGAAGAGAAGAGTGGACGCCCTAGCATTGTGACTGACGAACTGGTCACTAAAGTTGAAAAGATTCGTGAAAAATGCCGTTTCACAATAACGGAGCTTTCGCCTAGTTTTCCACAAGTTTCATGAACTTTGTTGTTTGAAATTGTCACACAAAAGCTAGGCTACCGCAAATTTCGTGCAAGATTGGTGCCGAAATTGCTTACAGACCCCCATAAAGTCAGCGAATGGGGGCAGCTTTGACATTTCTGGAGGCCTATGATAGACGTGATTCATTACTGGATCGAATCGTAACTGGCGATGAGACATGGGTGAGACACGTGAATTGCTAGACAAAATTACAGTCCATGCAGTGGGGGCACACAAGTTCCCCCAAAAGACCAAGAAAATGTTTGCAAACCTTGTTACCAAAGAAGATTATAGCAACTGTGTTTTGGGATAGGCAAGGTGTGCTTCTGATTGATTTTCTCGAACGTGGTGTCACAATAAACTTCGAGAGGCACTGTCAAACTTTGCGCAACCTTAGGAGAGCAGTTCAAAACAAGCGCCGAGGAAAGTTGATGTCCAAAATTTTGTTTTTACACGACAAAACCCGACCTCACACGGCAACCACACTCAAGAACTCCTTAATTCATTCAAATGGGAGGTTTTTCCTCATCCGCCCTATAGTTCTGATCTTGCACCTAGGGATTTTCACTTGTTTCCAAGAATGAAGAACTGGCTAACAACACAGCGCTTTGACGACGACAAGGAGCTGCGGGTGCGCATCACTGAGTGGCTGAGATCGCAGGCGGCAGAATTCTATGACGAAGGAATTTGAAAGCTTGTTCACCGCTATCTATGATAAGTGCCTCAATTTGTTTGGTGACTATGTAGAAAAGTAGAATTTTAGTCGCTCTTTCTGATGCATATACAGTAAGACCCCGCTTAACGCGGAGGATTTGTTCCATCAGAGTAGAGCGTAATGCGAAACAGCACTAAACAAGGCTATCTTTACATGTAAATATTGGGGTTAGGGGAAGATGGCTAGGAAATTGGTTAGGTATTAAATTTAAAAAGTATGTTTTTTTAATAAAAATAAAACCAAACATTTATTTCTTAAAGCCCAAATTAATACCAAATTATTATTTCTTGCAAAAATAAAAACAAAATATAAATAACAAAACAAATATTCTTAAAAAAAACAAATAAAATTCTCAGTCATATTTAGTTAGCCTTCCGCGTTTTCAGTGTTCTGCCTTTTTGTGACAAAAGCATAATTTTGTTTGCCTTTTTCTTTTGCGTTGTTCTCTCAAAAGTTCTTCATAAACGGATAGAGCATCTCTAACACCACGTCTTACTTTTGAGCTCCTGTTAAAATTCGGATCATTTTCAATGAATTGATCCATTATTTCAGTTATGGTAGACAAACTCCTTTTTACAAACGCCATTGAAAGTTCTTTTTGCTCTTCTTCTGAATCACTGCTGTCAACATTTTTGTTTTCTTCTTGTTCAGTTAATTCCTTGAGTTCATCATTAGAAAGACTAGCCGCTGCTTCTTGAATTATTTCTTCGACATCTTCCACATTTTACCCCTTCAAAATATGTCTGTACAATACCGCACCAAACAAGAAATACAAGTACACTCTTTCAGATATGTATTTGAAACCTATCGCTGCATAATATTTCGGGGAATCCCCGTATGCTGCGAGCGATTTCGTGGAATCCCCGGGTTGAAATAAAAGAGCGCTAAACCGAAACAGCGTTAAGCAGGGTCTTACTGTAATAATTTTTTTTCTTGTACTTAGTTTCTTTTTAATTCCAAAACGATCCTTACTTTCTGAATATCCCACATACTTTTTATCTTAATATATTTTTGAATAGAATTGCCAACCATCGGCAGTATATTTTATGGTAAAAAATTAGCCCTTCTTCCCCCCTCCCCCGAAAAAAGATCCTATGAACACGTGGTAGAAAATGAATGATTTGTAAGTTACAAGGCATTGCTCGTATAACAAGGTGATGCAAAAGCAAGCTTTATTCACAAGTGGTATCCCAACATAAAGTTGACAAGCACCAGCTGTGCATTCTGTGACAGAAGATAAGCAAATATGACCCTGCAAACATGAATTGGAAAACACATATTTGCGCTATTAAATATCGATGAAAACAGATGTGAAGGCTATCTTTCCATTTTACTTAACTTGTTGAGGATCCATTAGACAATTAATTCTTAATCGAGTTTCTTCAGAGAAACATACTAATGACTCATGATTTCCACTCCTTTATCCCCTTGAGGCCCTCCAAAAATGTCATTTTCTGCTTCGAAACCAATATTTAGAAGGAGGGAAGTGGTGAAGATTTATCATTAACTGTTTTGCCACCTACAAGGGGGGATGCAGCATGAAAAGTACATTGCATTCATAGTAGGACATATTATAACATAGTTCTTCCATAACACAGATTTATGATGTAGTAGGACATATTATAACATAGTTCTTCCATAACACAGATTTATGATGTTTTCATGATGTAATCTGCAGTTGGGTATTAAACTGCTGTAGATGTTCTCAATTTTTGTAGTTTTATAAATGAACTTCAAGCAAAGGCTCCTGATTTAACTATCCATGCCTTTTTTAAACTAGATCATGACTCATAATGTAATAATGTAAGAGCATGATTCGTGATATGTTTCAAATGTGACTGTTTTTTTTTTTTTTTTTTTTTTTTTTTTTTTAACTAGCAGTTTTTCCCCCAAAAAAAAGTAGTATCTAACATCAACAGTTTATTTAAAGGGGTGATAAAATTAAATTTGTATAATAGCAGTGATATAATAATAACTTTAAAGTTCTAGCCATAAAATATGCATGCCCAAATGTGTGTTTAAGTGATGCAGAAGTTGTGCCAGCACATTCTATAACAAGAGGATGAAGATGCAGCTGGCCTCCACACCATTTCATAATTGATTTTCAGTGTCTGATAACTCATAAACTCTGAATTTTAGTTAAGTTGGTCAAACACTCTGTATGAGAAATATTCAATGTTGCCATGCAACCTGGAAAACTGGAAAAAGTAATTGAATTTGAAAATTGAGCAAAAAAAGTTAGGGAATTTAAATATTTTAGTCAAAATCTGGAAAAGTCTGCAAATTTTGTATGGCGATCCTCAAAAAAGCGAATTTTGCGCCAGTGTTGAAAGCGATCACTTTCTTGGAGAATTATGTATCATGTGAGCATCATTCAGACAGCTGGCATAGAACCAGTTTTCACAGCTGAAATCAGATTGTCTTTTAGAAAGGCAAAGCAAATTTTCAGCATCTTTGGTTTCCAGTAATTTGTCATTTTGCATTAAAATAAAATAATAATAATCAGTCATCTAGGCTAACCACTTAGTATATCTGTATTCACCAAAATACTGTCAATTTTTGAAATTCAATTTTTAATCTTTAAGTAGTTAACTTTATTTTAATGTTATTCATATGATTTAATGTGACTTCTTCCTCCTCAATTTATTTATTTATTATTCAATAATACTTTCAAATTTCAGGTAGTTTTCTCTGGCATACTTGTTAAATTAATTTCTAGCAGTATGATGACATACATCACGAAATTTAGTGCACATATATTTTTACTTATGTATGCTGCTAAATAAATAATTTATTTTTAAATATCATTAAATAGATTTCTTTCTTTAGCTGCAAAATATCTACAGAAAAGACATTTTTTAATCCCAAATGGGCAGATTCTCATTTCAATCTTCAGTGAAGAAAACAGCTCCTATTATACTTATAATAGTAATGCTTTGGGGACTATACATATAAGGAAGTTCAAAATTTTGTTTACATACTTTATAAATATTCTATGTGACTCCCCTTGGTAACATGGATAGCATCTAAACTGTAGTCCATTGCACACCAATGCACATTTTGGGTTCTGGAATTGTTTTCAGCAAAGGAAGCATGTACACAAAGTCTTTCACATAACCCCATAGGAAGGAATTCCAAACAATTCCAGAACTCAAAATGTGCATTTCTAATGCATTTATATGCTGACTCTAGATATGCTTCAGAATGTATGGTGTAAAATGGACTACTGATTAGATGTTGTCCATCTTACAGAGAGGAATCACATAGAACATTTATAAAGTATGTAAACAACATTTTGAACTTTTACATTCTGTGTAATTCTTATCAATAATTTTTTTAATTAAATAGTTATAGCCATTTGTAATTTCTATATTATGAATCATCCTGTATATAATGTAGTAATTAACTTATGTATTCACCTAACTTTTGTCAAACACTTTCAATCTTTTTTTTTTTTTTTTTTTTTTTTTACTTTTAAGTATTATTACTGAAATTCTTTTATTTTGAATATTTAGTGACTGTCGTGGTTTATTTTCAGATGGGTGCATGTTTTTCCAAAGTATTTAATGGGTGTCCATTGCAAATCCATTGCACTGCTAGCTGGATTCATCCTGAAACAAGAGGTATTAAAATTCTTGCTAAATAACTGAGTCTTTAAAATTATTTTCCCCATTTAAATTTCTTTAAAATTATTTTATAGATATTTAAGTATAGCTGTAATTTGACATAATGTTTATTTTTCAGATCAGCACATTCTGTTTGGATGTGAAGAAGGTATCTATACATTAAATCTGAATGAATTGCATGATGCAACTGTCGACCAGGTGAAGTTTTTTGTACAATTTTAATTTATTACCATTGTTTATTATTTAATTCATATGCTGGCATGTTTATGTAAGCTAATTATATTTTTTTTAAATATGCTCATTTAAATTTTTTAAATATCTGAAATTAACTTAATTTTGTGTATTTTATAGCTATATCCTCGACGCACAGTTTGGATGTTTGTGATACAGAATGTTTTAATGACACTTTCAGGTACTTTTCCTTTTTCTATTTTCTTCCATATAAGAATGTTCCTAATCCTAATTTTGTATTTACAAAATAAAAAGCAGTTCAAAACCTAATCCGTGTGCTGAAAGGAGCAACAATTGGTGGTAATAATGCAAAACAAATTTAAATAAATAGTACGTTTAAAATTCATCCCATATTCAGATCAGAATAAGCATATGCAAAAACCAGAAGCACACTGGCAAATCACAGAAAAAGGTGGACAAAACATATAAAATCCAAAACTGAATTAAGAAATTTGCATCTTTTGCTGCACCATAATCAGGTTGTTGGTGTAATGAAAAATGTAAATTAATCAGCCTGTTTTTGAATGAACAGATAGACACAAAGTTTAAAATGTAAAACAATCTCAAAAAAGCAATTAAAGTAACCTGTGCTTTTATCAGTCCAACCCCCTACAAGAGTGTAAAACTTGCAAAATTATAGCATCAGAAAAACAAGATGGGAAATAATGAGTAGATAAGATAAAAAAGCCTGGACAAGAATAAGCAAGTGGCACCATCTGTTAATGAAACCAGAACTAAAACATAATTTCTTTAAAGGCCGAACGCAAAGATGGATTGGAATTAGGATCGTTAACTAGAACAGAAAGATTTTTTTTAATGTGAAATGCCTCTAGAAAATCCAGTTTTTCCAATGGAAGATGTTTTTTGAATAATTTTGGCAGCAGAAAAATTGAAAGTGTGATTTTCGGACCTACAGTGTTGAGCAACAGAAGACTTCTGTATTTCCTTTATTCTATGAGGCATTTGTTAGAAAAAAGGAAACACAGAAGTCTTCTGTTGTTCTAAAATTAGGTTCTAAAATTATAATTAAGACACAATAACATGCCAAATAAAATATATATATTAAGACACAATAACACGCCAAATAAAATATATTTAAAAGCAATAGCTATTGACAGGGGCTTTTCACCCAACATTATTAATCAAGCAGTTAAAAAATTCTCATCTCAACACACTAAAAGGCACACTCTTGTTTTAGAAGATAATAAAAATTCTTTCCATTCCATTTTGTCATTCCCTTCTTTCCATCAATTAGCTATAAAGTTGCACACATTTTGCAGAAATTTAACTTTCGGGTTGTTTATTCTCCCATCAATAAAATTCCAAGTTCCATACTTAAGGACCCCATTCCGGATATGAATTCCTGGGGTATTTATAGGATTCCTTGCCAGTGTGGTTTAATTTACATTGGCCAAACTAAGAGAGCCTTAAAATTTCGCGTTAAAGAACATGAGGCATATGTTAGAAAAAAGGAAACACAGAAGTCTTCTGTTGCGCAACATTGTTGGTCCGAAAATCACACTTTCAATTTTTCTGCTGCCAAAATTATTCAAAAAACATCTTCCATTGGAGAACTGGATTTTCTAGAGGCATTTCACATTCATAAAAATCTTTCTGTTCTAGTTAACGATCCTAATTCCAATCCAAATTTGCCTTCGGCCTTTAAAGCAATTATGTTTTAGTTCTGGTTTCACCAACAGAGGGCGCTACTTGCTTATTCTTGTCCAGGCTTTCTTATCTTATCTAATCATTTTTCCTATCTTGTTCATTTGCGGTTTTGCAGCTGAGGATGGTGGTTCGGTAAAACCATCGAAACTAGTCCTGTGGAAATTTTGTAAATATAACGCTGATTTTTGTTGTTTGTCTTCTGAATTCTAAAATTATGTTAGAAAATTATGTTGTTTTGAATTTCGGAATTTTATTGATGGGTTCTGACATTGGCCAAACTAAGAGAGCCTTAAAATTTCGCATCAAGGAACATGAGGCATATGTTAGAAAAAAGGAAACACAGAAGTCTTCTGTTGCTCAACATTGTTGGTCCAAAAATCACACTTTTAATTTTTCTGCTGCCAAAATTATTCAAAAAACATCTTCCATTGGAGAACTGGATTTTCTAGAGGCATTTCACATTCAAAAGAATCTTTCTGTTCTAGTTAACGATCCTAATTCCAATCCATCTTTGCCTTCGGCCTTTAAAGAAATTATGTTTTAGTTCTGGTTTCATTAACAGATGGCGCCACTTGCTTATTCTTGTCCAGGCTTTCTTATCTTATCTAATCATTATTTCCCATCTTGTTCTTTTGCGGTTTTGCAGCTGAGAATGGTGGTTCGGTAAAACCATTGAAACTAGTCCTGCGAAAATTTTGAAAATATAACCCTGATTTTTGTTGTTTGACTTCTGAATTAATAATATATATATATATATATATGTTTGTGTGCATAGACATAATTGTAGTTTATGATGTCTTAAACGTAAACTATATAGAGTATTTTATCTTCAAAGGACTGAAATATACTTAATCTCTCTAAAATAAGGATTATTTGTGTATATTTCATATTTCCTTTATCTTTATTTTGTACATCTAGGCTGTAAGTATTGGCAATATATATGTGATATAATAATAATAAAGTACAATATTTTCAAGGTTTAGGACTATTGATTCCCTTGCTTCTTTTAGCAGCCTTAAAATATTCCATAATTAAATTTTCTTTTTAATATGCCAGCAATTCCAAAGCATTTCTATAAATTCTTGTCTGATGATTTGATTCTTATCCTTTCTTCATTTAGTTTTCTTTCTAGATAACATTAATATTTTATTGTTTCCTAAATAGTTCTAATTAATTTAAATCAAGGCATACTAGATGAAAAGCTAAGATTTTTTTCTTTTTCATTTTTTTTTACCCTATTATCTTATTATAATTATCTCTCAGTGTTAAAATACTTCTTACTTCAGAGTGTTTACAGAAATTCTTATAAGGCAATTTTGTCTTTAATATTTAAAAAAGAAATAACTTTCAAAGTAACATCCAGTGGAACTTGTATAATTTCTTCAGTGTTTCCCTGTTTTTTGGAAGTGAGAGCAGAATGACTATTTTAGTATTTGTCATGCACTGGCCATTATGTCATTTTGTATGGCTTGAATAATCTGAGAATGTAGACCATATAGAACTCTTATGCTAAGAAGAAACAGAGAGGTTAGAAGATTAGGAATGTGACAAATAGCTTGTGCTCCATGAGAGACTCTTCTTTCACCGAATCAGTTCACAAATCAAAATAAACTCTAGTAAGAACTAAAAATAATAAAACTCCATTACATATTCAAAGATATCATGTTTATTGTGGGTCTTCCAAATTTTAAAACTTAATCAACGACTTTTAGAGAGATGCATTGCTGTTGCCAAAAAAAAAAATCTTTAAAATGAAAAATAATTATTATGTATTGGAGATATAGGTGCTAGCATGGTTCATTAATATTTATCATCCTTCTATCTTGCAATGTGAAAATTAAGTTGAACTTTCCAAAAATGTAATAATGAAAAAGTCTTTAAAAATACTGATACTTTAACTGCATATATAGGTGGTGAGGAATATCAGTAAAATAATAATCAGTAATATCTGCTAAATAATGCAAAGTTTTGACAAAACATTTAGTATTGGTTGGTAGATCACATTTCATTGCATGGATATTGTGCTGTTGTTTGAATATCACTTCATTTTAACATTACCAATTATTCCCTCTGTTTTTGCCTAATAGTACTACTAAACTGCTTGTGAGATACAGAGGAATATAGGGCTGTACCATAAAAATTACTTTAAAAAACATCAAAGTCAAAAAATTTGGAAATGCTAACCTACAACATTGAAATTTAATTATATGTATTTTGCTGCTCTTAGAAACTTGTCAGCTAGATCATAAAATTTTCAATGTTTTTTGAATGATGAGGGAGAAAGCAGTTTGCTTTTTAAAAAAATTTGGCATGTAAATAAAATGATCATATTGTTCAAATAAAGTAATTGCAAATTTCTAATATTTTAATTATTTAAAATTTGCTTTGTCAGAAACAGACAGAATAAAATTGTTAGTTTTAGTTTAATTTCTCTCCTCGTTTTTTTAATTGAGTATCTTTCATATCATAGGGAAGTCACCTCAGTTGTATCAACATGATTTACTTCAGATGTATGCCAAACAAACCCATAAATTTTCACTGCCAATGAATCGTATTCCTGAAAAGTTTGTGCCCAGGTACCTATTACTTGAAGCTTTATTTAATTAAATATTTTGCTTTCTCACACTTATTAATTATTCTTTTGATATCATACACAGGAAATTCTCTTCAACATCTAAAGTGCCTGATACCAAAGGATGTAAACGTTGTTGTGTTGGGCGAAATCCATATAATGGTTACAAGTATTTGTGTGGAGCTATGAGAGATGGCCTTTTTTTAATGCAGTGGTATAATCCTCTAAAGAAGTTCATGCTGCTAAGAGTATGTATACATTTTTACATCTTATGCATATAATATCTACAAAATTTTTAGACCAGATTTCTTAAAAATTTGAGATTTGAAGAAAATATTCTGGATTGTTTCTTTTGTAAGGATAGTTATCTTTAGAACTAAATAGTTTCTAAATAGTTCTCTTTAGAACGATATGTGTACCAGCTTGATCTTATATAACATGTTTTCTGTGTTTCTTATTTATGCAAATTCATGTGCAGACACCAGATTAAAGATAAAAACCCAGCTGAACATTCTTGCATGACATCATTGTCATGCTTAATTTTAATTAAATGTGTTGTTGTTATGTTTTATAGCATGTTCTTTTTTTTTTTTCAAAAGAAGTATTGTTAAAAATGTTTAAAGAATGTCATTCTGTTTTAATTCTGTACTTATTAAAACATCTAATCTAAGAAACATATTTTGTATATGTAGGAAAATTTTACCATCGAATTGTTCTATAATGTAAATGATCCATTATTATTATTATTATGCAGCCTATGATGTGCCTTTAACACTTTTCATTTCTTGGCACATAAGTAGAGTTTTTGGCCACTTTCAAAATAACCTATTATTAGAATGCTCTTTAATATTGCTCATTGTGTTTTCATGAATTTTTGTGATGCAATCAAATAAAAGGAGGCCATTTCTTTGATAAAAAGGTGAATATTTTCTTTCATTCTTTAAGGTGAAATCTGGACTTGAAGATGAGATTTCACCTTAAACAGTGAAAAGTAGTTTGTATGCATCAGGCTTGTTGATTAATAAGGACCTTGGAGAAAAGTTATGCTTTGTCTAAAGAACTGCACGAGTGCAGTTGTATAAGGCGGGGAGCAGTTTTTTGTCTTTGTAACAGCAAATATTGATCGTACAAACAAAAAAAGTCTGTTAAACTTTTTGTTATAAATTATTGATATTTTAAAGGAAACAAGTGAGGTGTATCAAACTGGAAGAGACACATGGCAATATTAAATGTAAAATTGGGCAAAAATGTATAGGTATGTTAGTGATCACAGATACGCTTTTACACGTGAAAAGTGTCTCCTAAAAAATTATAGATGCACATTGTTTAAGCAGTTCTGTATACTGTTTGTTTTTTTCAACTTTGAATACATCTGTTATTATTTTTATTATATTTTATAGCAAGTGAAGTGTTATATTCCAGCAGCTTTGGAAGTATTTGAAATGATTATTACACCTGAATATGAATATCCAATGATATGTGTTGGTGTTAAAAAGGGGTAAGTTTCTTGTACAGGTTATTGGTTTTTATATCTCCTTATCTATATGTGTTATTATGCTGTGCATAGTGTAATGATTTTTTATGAATTTTCTGGTTTTGTATAATATTTGGAATAAGTGGATTCTTTATTCAGTTGGGTTTTTTTTTTTTTTTTTTTTTTTTTTTTTTTTTTTTTTTTTTAATTAACAGTGAAATATGTTGCACTGATGAACAGCTAAATTCAAGTAGATATCTTACAGATTTTGCAAACTGTGTGTTAAGTTTTTGAATGTTGTTTTATACCTTTGAAATGAACCTTAAGTAAACAATAGTATCAAATTTTATTACCTTACACTTGCCATGTATGGAGATTGTATCAACAGATATTAATTCCTTATATACTCATTTATTATAAAAATTCCTGGATAATAATCAGAAGCTTGAATGAACTCAAAATTAAAAAAATCAGCCTATTTAAATTGAAAAGCTTTAATAATATTTGGAAGGTTCATATCAGGCATATCAAACTCAGTATCTCAAATGGGCCAGATAGTCATCAGTATATAGTAAAGCAGACAGAAAATAAATAGCCATTTTCTTACTTAATGATGTAGTGAGTGTAAAAGGGAGTAAATACATAAAATTTAGTTTTTTCTTTCTCAAAATGTACTGCTCACACTGGCAATTTTCAGAACAGAGGACAAGCGAATTTCTGTTAACTGGATCTTGCTGAGGACACATTTCTTTCATAACTTCAGAAAAAGCTGTTCACTCTGCTGAACATGGAAATCACATACAATGCAAAATTTGCAGATTTTTCAGAGCTAAGCAAACAAGCATTTGTAACATTCTGAGATGTGCACTTCACCAAACTTTTGCTTTAGAATTAGTTGACCTGAAGTTCTTTAAAATTGTAAATATGTCTCAATATTCAGTGAAATCCCAATTTTCATTATTATATTATATATTTCTTGTTATATTCTTGGGGTAAATGGAGGTCTGTAGAAAAATCAAGCAGTCTATCGAGTTTGACATTCACATTCCTATTCTAAATCTACAATTATGTAAATTTGCGACTACAAAAATCACTATTAAGTAGTATTCTTGATAACATCCCAAATAAAATGAGACTTCACTTAACTTAGTAGTTTATTAAAAAAACTGTTGTTTAATTAGCCAAGGCAATTATAGATCAGAAAAGAAGTATGCTGTATAATGTAGTTAAATAGTGTCTATGAAATGGGCATGTTTACTGTGATTGTTTTCAATCCAGCGGAACTGCAGATGTTTTCTTTTTTAGTAAATATAAATACTTTTGTAAGAGAAGGAGTTCTTTTCCCACTTTCCAGCCATCTGCAATTAACCAATCTGCCTCAATGGAATTTGGCTGGCAGAAAAATCAAATTTCAGATGTGTAACTAACTCATTGTGGCCTTTTTGGATAATGTCTGAAACATGACAAGGTCAATTTTTAGATCTGACAGATTTTTCAGCCATATTTTAGCACAAAGGGGCAATTTGGCCTGAAAGGCTGTTAATTTCGTTTTGGCATTTTTTCACTATAAATGATGATTCACTTTTTAAATGGTTGCCACCAAACATTATTGCTCTGTATTATATTTAAAGAAATTAAATGAAGAATTTTCATGAATGTATATATGTTTCTTGCATTGTGAAAAAACAATGGTACTCCACCCGAACATATGCTTCTCCACCGAACATATGCATATGCGAATTTTGAATTTATTTTATTATCTATTTCATATTTTGTAACACTTTAATGGTTTTTTGATTATAAACTCAATGATTTCAAAGTGAACAATGGCAATTTAACACAAGCGAACAATGTGAATTTAACACAAGGCAGAAAAAAAACCATTTTTATCTCCACCGCATGAGACTGTGTATCGGAAATTCTAAAGATATGCTCTTTTTAAGTATTTTGTGATATTGCTGATGAATTTTATGTGGTTTAAGTGTGAAGAACGTGGTATATTTAATAAAGGAAGGTGACACACAAAGCGTTAAAAATATGACTCTTTGGGCATAATACAAAATTTGAAAGCTTTATTTATTTATTTTTTTTACCCTAAGTTGTTTTGCAGTTATATCCGTGAATTTTATTTTAGTGCTGCCTTGAAGAAGACTCATTTCTAGTAAAATATAGCTTAGCTGTTGTAGGTGGTCTCACAGGCTGGGAAAATTTCTTCATGTGTTATCCTGTCACAGAATTGCTGAACACTATATCTGCAAAATGAATGAGTTGGACACAACTCTATTATTGTCAATGACAAAGTCAAGAAATGAGTTTCTGTTAAATCCATTAAGTACTTTATAGCTTTTTTGAATTCTCATGAATCTTGTTCTATGTTTTCATTACTTTTGTAAATATTATCTTGAATAGTTATGACAAGTAAATATTCAGGATAACTACTTTTTGATGTCTACCAGATCTTTTCTGTCAATGTAACATTCTGCCATTGACTTTAATTTGGAAAATTCAATATTTTCCCCCTCATTAAAATAATTAAATAAATTTTCCCCCATTAAAGTAATAATTAAGTATTGATTTTTTTAGAAACTTAAGTCATCAGATTAAAAGTTTTATGTATATCTAAACATAAAATTATTTATGGTATGTAAATTTAGTCTGCATGGAATTAACAATAAAGTAATTCCATTGTTAGTTACTGAACTTGTTTGAATTATTTATGCTATCAGTAAGAACATAAGTTGCAGTTAGAAAGCTCAATTACAACATATGACATCTGAATTATTATGTAATTTTTATTGTTATTATTTAAAGCTCAGAGTAATATATTAAATGTTTATGCAACCGTATACTTTAATTTATAAATATTATTATTTAATTTTTTGGGTATATTGTTATTTTTTCCAATTATTTCTAATTAGGTATGACAGAGGCCATCTTGAACTTGACATGATAAACTTAAATAATTCTGAGTACTGGTTAAATGATGATTGGGAAGGGACAGACACTATAGTTCCGAGGCATGAAACACTCAAAATTATTAATGTTACGCAGCTGGAAAAAGATGCCATATTAGTCTGTTATGATAGTAAGTTTTTTTTGGTAACATTTGACACTTTCATTTAATTAAATATATATCTTCCTTATGTGAGAATCATAAATATGTGATATGATGAAAAATTTTTACCATCACTGTTCTGAATATTTAAGAGTTACAAATTTGTTCTTTGTTCCAATAGTAAGTGTTTTTTATTTGTTTTATAGTTGTCAATCTTCAGGGTAAACTTAAATCAAGTAGGCGCCAGCCAGCAGAGTTGGTATTTGATTACAAAATTGAATCGATTGGTACGTACATATATAACAATTATAAGGTTTTCTAATGAAAGTTTTTTATAAGAAGGAAATTATATCTTGAGAAATATCATTTTAGAAATTTCTGTGTACACTTTTGTGAAAGAGAAAGGGAAAACTTTTTTTTGTGATTTTAATATTTTAATAAATTTTAATGTATGCACTGTTAGTGACACATCAGATATACAGACAATCGTTTATGTCATTTCACATGATGTTCCATTTCCCCACATGAGCTGTAACCATTTTGCCACATGATGCCACATGAGCTGACTCAGTTAAGGACACCCATGTTTGGACCTGCTCAAATACGAACGCAAGGACAAAATTCTGGCCAAGATCATCACTTGTGATGAAAAATGGATTTACTTCAACAGCACAGGCCAAAAAGAGGGTTGATCTGTGCCTGGTGAGCCTGTTGGCAGCATCACACAATTCAGTTTGACTAAGAAAAAGATCATGCTTTGTATCTGGTGGGATTATTGCTGTGGTATTATCCACAAACTTTATCTGGAAAAAGGTAAAACCTGCAACAGTAAGGTGTACAGCAAGATGCTAGTCAGTTTTGATGCTGCTATCAAAGAAAACATCGAACTGAGTGTCGGCGCAAATAGGTAATGTTACATCAAGATAATGCAAGACCGTATATGTCTGCATTTACCGGCTGGCCTCTGTACGGACTCAAACGGGATCTTTTGCCACACCTACCATGTAGCCCTGATATTGCTCCTTCGGACTTCTGCCTTTTTTCAGACATGCAGCTACATTTTTCTGGTGTTATCTGTCATTCTACACAGTATATCCAAAATGAGGTTGATCTGATTTTAGATTCACAGCTACCTATATTCTGTGCCAAAGGCTTTGAAAAAGTACCAAAATGTTGGCAGAAAATCAAATATTTGGATGGTGATTACTACCCACACTAAAGGTACTGCTTTCATTTTTTTTTCCTCCTGACTTATTTAAGAACATTTTTTGGCTTAAAACTTTCATTTAAACCAGATATTTCGTGTATACCTGTTCTTCAGTATCATCAATTTGTCTTTATTACAAGGACTTAAAAAAAGCCAACTTTTGCTGTTCTCACTTTTTAGCTAATTATATATTAACTTTCAACCATTATCCCAACATACTTTCCTCTAGTATCAATACACTGAAGCCATCATTTCTCCCACTTTTGTATTGGTACTGGAAATTGCTTTTTTGATAGTGTGAAGTATTGTCATTGCATTTTCCTGGATTTCCTCTATGCTGTCAAAATGGCATCCTTTTAAAGTGGTTTTAAGTTTGAGAAAGGGAAAACTGTCTGCCAAGCCTATTCTAGAAAATAGAGTGGGTGAGACACAAAAGGAAATATGTATCGTTTTATCTGATAATTGGTAACAAGAAGCCAGTGCTTGAACTGGAACATTGTTATGATGCAACATCCATGGCTGATTCCCCACTGCTCAGATCTCTTTCTACGCACAGCATCTCAGACCTTATTCGAATTCTGTGGTAGACATATTTACTGTCTGATCATGTTGTACATATTAATAATGCATTTTGAACTTAGTGGTCGTCTGTTGATGGGTTAGGTCATACAGTTCTTGGATATTTGGCAACTGAACTTCTGCCCTCCTTCAAATTTTAAAAAACAATTATAACACTATATTTAGCTCATACTGTCATCTTTGCATGCTTGGTTAAGCCTTTGGAATGTTTTAGTGGAAGTTTTTCTAAATTTTATGCAAAATTTCACACAGATATGTTGTTTCTCCTGTTCCTTTATTTTTACTTTCTTACTAATCTGACGAAACTGCATATGCACGACCTTACTCGGTAGTTACTCAAGAACTAATACACAGATCTGAGCTCAGTAAAAAGCGACATGCTATCAAGATATGATGCTAAGTGTGATCTGCAGCCATTGCCAGGCCATTTTTTTTTTTTTTTTTTTTTTAATTTTTGTAAGTGACCTGCTGATTTCCTTGATCTAAATTTCACTAAATATCTGATCTGTATGAATGATTTGTAACATTTAAAAGTGGCACTGACAATAGAAGAATATTTGCTGCTGTACAAGTTTGTTGACAACTCTGAATTATTTGAGGTGTTCATATGCTTTGCCGCAAACCATTTGTTATCTTTATTTAATATCTGGCAATCCTTCTCCTGTATTACTGTAATTAACTCTCATGAGTATATTTTGTGTCTTGTTCTATTTGTATTTTCTCTTGATTTCTGATTGTATCTTTCAATTGTGGTATCACCTGAGGTACGTATGTTTTTCATAGACTCATAGTATCAAGTTTAAAACTGTGGGTTTTCATACACTCATAGTATCAAGTTCTGATTATTTTTAAGTTTTGCATGCTTATCTGTATGAAAATTTTGTTTTTTAATAAGTTAAATAAGTTATACATTTTGAAGTTTGTTCTTTTCAGAATTGCTTCAGTTTTGTAATTAAATTCTTTTTATTATAAAAAAAAAATTTCTTTTTGTTCATAATTAATTATCTGTATGTGAGTGTAATAATTTTAATTCATTGAAGGTGGATGATGCAGCATTCTTGAAGAAGCTAGCAAGCATCTAATTTTAATTGGCAATAGCCTCTTAACTCTTCATTTAATTTGGATAGTTCCTCTTTCTGTTCTAATTACAGTAATTGCTTATAATTAACCTCTCTAAACTACATCATTTTAAAATCAATAACAGGCATCATGTAATTTTTACATTATGCTAGTAATATAAATGGTTTTGTAAATTAAAACTTAACTGGCCAATAATAATTCAGAGTTATTAGCTATTCAAAATTATATCAAAATCGAAACTAATTCACAGTGAATTAAGATTTCATCCTGAACACATCACACTTTCTTCCAGCTTCTGTTAATGCTTGCTGTCTTCAAAATTATAATTTTCAAATATAACAGTACCGATTTAATACTCCAAAAGCAGATGCTATGTTGCCCAGTTTATCTGCACTGCCTTATTGAAGTGCTTGGCCAACTAAATAAAAGGCAACATTTAAATCTGCCGTGATTTTGAAGTTTCTTCTCTATGAATCAATATTTATACATTTACAATTATTTACAAGCATCCCACAGGGATCAGCAAATTTATTTTTCATTGTGCATCTTTGGCATACATACATACATATGTACACACATATATATGTAGACACTATTTTTACTTGAATTGTATATCATGTTAAGTAATATATTGTTTTATTTTGTTTCAGTTTTTATGGTATGTTAAGTTGTGACATTAAGTTATTCTTGTTTCAGTATGCCTCACAGACAGTGTTTTGGCATTTCATAAACATGGAATGCAAGGAAGGAGTTTTAAAAATAATGAGATTGTCCAAGAAATCACAGATAATTCAAGGATTTTTAGGATGCTTGGATCAGACAGGTTGATAATTTTAATGATTTTGATGCACTTTTTGTGTGGTACTGAAAGTTACTTTAAATTATATTTAAATAAATCATTATAGTTTAAAAAAGTTTTGCTTGTTATTATTAATTATTATTATTTTGAAGTTTTGCACACTTTTTTCTCAAAATAGTTGTCCTAGATTTAGACATCTATTTTATAGAAAAAAGCTGCTAATATTTTTTATGCTAATATTCTAACAGCTAATTTTTTATTCATGTAATATAATGCCATTTTATGGTAAATTGCCAATGAAAGATATTTCTAGAAATATGTTGTGTTTATTAATTAATAATAATAAAACTTTTTTGGGGGGAGTCATTTGATGAGATTTTTGTTTAAAGATTAAGAGTATTAGTTCAGTGTTTAACAGGAAGAGTTCAGAATAGTTTGTGATTAAAAGTTGAAATACATTCTTCGATTCTGGGTGTTATCATTTATAAGTTTTCCAAAAATTTAAGTATGTTTCATAATTAAAACTTGCAAATCAGAACAAAGTCACTGCCTCTGAAACAAAGGCCTATTTATTCTCTTGTTATAAAATTTTATGTATTTAAAATTAAAATGGATAATTGTAGTCTTCTGCTTTTCAAATTATATTATTTTTCATGCATAAATTGCATAACATCTGACCAAATTTGCGTTATTTATCTGCACATGTAACTTTTTTTAGTGTTCAGTTAAGGATGGTTTTAACCCTTTCAGGGATGCAATGTTATGATTTTTTAAAAGTTATGAAAAAGTAAGCATAATGACATGCAATGGTCCTATAGACAACATAAATGAGTTTAAAAATTTTTTTTTTCGTCCCCCTTTATGGAAAGGGGACCAGTTTTGCCTTGAAATTAGTGCCTGTCTAAGCATTTAAGACTAAGCATTTGCTTAGTTATCTTTACGTTTGCTGGAAAGTATTTGAATGTAACCCAAATTGCAGATTATACTAGTAAATTACTGAACAACTAATGAAGTAAGTAATATTTGCATAAACACGCATTTTTAATTATAAATAAAAAATTTAAAACAGGAAACAAAAAAGTATGAGACAAAAAGTAACTAATAATGCACTAAATTACTTGCATAAAACTATGAAATATATTCAAAAATTATGTTTAAAACTAAGAAAATTATATGTAAAAATAAAATAAATTAAAATGCATACAGTTATTTTACTATGAACTAGAAGCATGAGAAAAGCGACCGCTAAGAGAAGCATAATAAAAACGCAACTGTGAGTGTTTTTCAGTGTGCTCTGTGTCTCTGTAAAAAATAAGAAATGTTTTCCCTCTCTCAAAAGCTCCATAAATCCTCATCTTTGAAGCCACTCAAATGAAGATATTGTGCAACTGTTTACAGCAGTGATCCGAAAGCAATAAACACAACTGCAAAATATCTCACCACTGCGTCATCTGATCCTTTCTTCGATGTCCCAGAGGGGCGGTGGTTTCATGCTGAAACCGCAATGGAAACATTCAAAATTGAAAGGGTTCCATTACTTTTTTTTTGTGAACTAAGGACATTTCATTACTCATTGATGCCTGCTTATAAAATATATTGTGGAAAAATTAAAAATTTTTGGGTTTTTGTTTTTAAAATGGGTCAAAAAGAGTAGTGTGCAAAAGAAGCTATTTTTGAATCAATTAATAGATGCCCAATTAATCAATCAATTAATGGATGCCCAGAAGGGTTTGCTGCTGCCATCTGTTATCAGCTTTATTTAAGAAGTAATTTAATTTTAGCAGTGGTTTTGAAAAAAAAAAAAAAAAAAAAAAATTCTCTAAATTGAAAAAAACTGTTGAAAATGCGAAACCACCACCCCTGAAAGGGTTTCATTTTTTTTATAGTGCAATTTTTGAAAGTAATGTATCAGAATTGCATTTAGATGCTTCATTCTTATCAATACTACTATTATTTTTTTTTTTTCCCTAACAGAATTGTAGTTTTGGAAAGCAGACCAACTAATGAACCAAAAAGTCCTTCCAACTTATACATATTAGCTGGTCATGAGAACAGTTACTAATGCTGCTGGTAAACAAGTGGTGTTCACAGTATTGAAAATTGTGTCAAATTTGTAATTGTGATTTAATTTTAATGCTGTTTTAAGCATTGAACTGATTAATATGTAATTACATTAATTTTCATATAGATTGCACATCTTATAATTAAGCAGTCATATAAGCAATGTAGAATATGTAGAAATCATGATGTACAGTATTTTTATTGCTAAAACAGGCTAATAGATTGTACAATAGTGTGAATTTTGTAAATTATTTTTATGATCGTATGAATATATATGTGTGTGTTCAATTTGTGTGAGACTGCATGTAGATTTTTATGGTATTTTCTTTTGTGGATTGTTTGATAATTTCTGTGATTATTTTGTTCTTATATACTAATGCATCAAGCATTTTATTGAAAATTTATTATTCAAGTAGTTTTTTTATTTTATTCATGTTTAAAATTTTATCAGCTATTCTAAAATAATGATCTTTTCTCCTAATTTATCTTTTAAATCGGGTTAATGAAGTAAAATAATTCTGTACTTTTTAACTTTGTAGTTGTGCTTAAGTTTAGCCAGAAATTTTTAATATTAATACTAAGTATATTTAACATCAGTTATGTCTCTAGGATAAAATCCGCTATTCTTTCTAAAACTGTTCACTCATTTACATTAGATGGTTTTAGCATTGCTCTTATTTTGATAATTATTGTGCATGTCAGTGGTTAAGTTTTAAGTGAAGTGAAGTTTCTTAATATTAAATTGTTGTTTTATATCTAAGTAATGCAATAAATTTTGGAGACAAATTTTAAAGGTGTCATTTACAAAGTATTGATGAAATTAATGAAAAAAAAATCTAGTTATAAGTCATACTTTGAAAAAATTTTATTATTTTTAAACTTTATGAAACCGTATGATAATGTACCAGGGTTTGCTGAGATGGTTTGAGTTGGGATGAATCCTTAAATGTTCTTAAATTTGAATCTTAGAGTTTTCAGGTATTTCATTAAAGGAATAAAAAAAATTCCATCCTTAAAAGATTATAATTTAAGCAAAATTTGGAATCTGCATTTAATAATTAACAAATTTAAAGAATACAGTTTTTAAAAATACACATATATATTATGAAGATATAAATGAAATTTAGTTAAGTGAAGTACATAATTAAAATCTTGAGGTTCATTTTTTCCCATCATAATTTTTCTAAATAAATTTTAAATAAATGGTTCAGAATTTTTCAAATTTCTTGATTCTTTTAGATCAAAGAATATGCAGATGGAAAACAGTTTTTTAAGAAATAACTGAAATAAATACTCATTATAAAATTATTATGAAAATTTAGAAAAATAAGATCCTAAAAAAAGTTTTTTTTTAATTTAAAAAATTTTATAAGAATACATTTTCATATAGCATTCAGGGTCTGTATGGTACTGGTCATCCAGATGCCACAGAAAATACATAAATTAAATTCTTTTTTTGTGATGAATTCTTCTATGGATGGCAGGGGGGACTTATTTTTCCAAGTTTAGAATTAAAATTTTGACCAGTTTTTCTAGGTTGGCATTCAAATGATGAAAAAGCATGAAGATTCATGCTTCCAAATCTGAATCTTCAAGATTCAAGTATTTGAATATCATATTCATAGTGATTGTTTATGTGTTTAAAAATTTGATTCCAAGTCAGAAATTTGTTTACTGTAAGGTTGCATATGGTTAGGGTAAATCTATTAAAAGTTTGATGAACATCATACTCTTTCTGTAACAGTTATGCTGCAACAGTTATTGAAATTAAACATTTGTTTGTAGTACATGTTGAATGCATTAGAGTCTCAATTATTCTTTTTTTATGTACTTTGATATAAAGTATTTAAATAACAGTCTTTCTTTTTGGGTATCCATATCTTCCCATTAATTATGAATCAATAAATACTAATTTTATTTTAAATTTTTGTATCGAACATGGTGAATACTTTTGTAACAATCACCTCTCTAAGACTGATGATCACTGATAGAACCAGTATTTCTGAGAACATAATCATCAATCTCTGTAATATGACTGCCTTTACAGAAGATAAAAATCATCTTAAATCGTGGTTGATCATGTCAGAAAGGATTCGCTGTATATGCAAGTCAAGTTGGTTTAAAATAATATCATGTGTATTATAAGAAAGTATCGTGAATGGGAAAATTCTATTCGTAGTTAATTACTAGTTTAAAATTTATTTCTTTTGTGTAGCAGATGAAAGTGGTGAGCATTTGTTATCACTTTCATATATAAGAAAAAATATATCTTATATGCATCAAACAAAAGAGTTTCTATTTTGCTGATAATTTTCTTTTACGATTTTCTTAAGAAGGGTGAAATAAGAGATTGAAATAAATTGTAACAAATGGTGTCAGTTTTTTTTTATTGCATGGGTTTCACACATGCTTATTTATTTAAAGGGGAAAAAAGTGATATTTTACAGTGTATAATTGCAGTATGAATGACTAATGATAGGTTTATATACTTTCACAAACTGCAATTGATTCTGATTGAATGTTTAATCTGAGGATTTTTTTTCCTTTCTAAGCTAGATAAATTCGGAAATCACTGGTATTTTCTGAAATTTAGCTGCTCATCATATTTGCATATACATTGGACTTTCTATTTCGTGAACCTTCAGTTTATGAATTATTATTATTATTATTATTATTTTGTTATTTCGTTGTTTATATAGACTTTTATGATCATTTTAGTCACATTCCCTTTCGCAAATTTTATACACATGCAATTTTTTTTTAAGCCATTGTGCATGAATTTGTAAAATAGAGAATTCACTCTTCTATATGCAGTGCATGTATACAAGCACGTGTGTGCATATGTTTACTTAAAAAGGGGGAAAAAAAGAATCTGCAACCATGCAGCTTACAGTTTCTTCCCAAATTAGTGTGCAGTGAAATCCCCCATTCTGTTTCATTTTCCTTTTATTTATTTATTTAAAGTAAGTATTGCTGAATTATTTAAAATATTATTTCGCTTCGTGTTTCATTGTTGGGTTATATGAAAACCTATATTCATGCTTTAAGTAATTATGTAAAATACTGTAAAATTTAAAATTTTATGTTTACTTGCAACGTGATAGGGAATGTAAACATCAACCCGAAGAAAAGGATAGATAAGGCAAAGTGATTTTTATATTTCTGTAACATAATGCGAGTTTATTATGTGTATATTTAAGTGTATTCTCTAAATAAAATTATTGCATGTCCCATATATGAAGCCTTTTAAAGTTTTTGCTATCTGCATTAGTTTCCCTTTATCAGTTAATTTTCCACTTAATCTGTATCCTCATTTTACCCAAAAAGTTGTCTTATATTCTGTGTATTTATTGTGTGTATTACATAATTAAAGAATGTAAGTGTGTCTAAGGCTCTTAACATACATATTTAATGTGATAATATCTTAAATAAGTTTAAGGGCTTCAAGCCATACTTACATTCTTGAAACTTTCCTGTAAGAGAAATTATTTCGTGTGCTGTTGTGAAAAAGACAGTTATTTCAAATAAAGAGTAGTTTGTGGATTAAATATCTCGCCTGCTGAAGGGAAAAAAAAGCAGAGTTTGAATTTTTTAAATCATTCTAATGAAATTAGTATGCAGTATTAAAAATGCTGTTTTCTTGTCTCATTTTTTATCTCTGTTGATGGTGAATACATGAATTAGATGGGAAGTTCTTTAAGTTTCATTCAAAAATGTTTGTTTTTATTTGTTAGTATAACAAAGCTGTTTTGTTTGGATTTTGTTTCAGTTCAAGAAATACTACTGAATTTTAAATTAAATATATAGGGTATGTGTAAAAAATTAATGAAACAAAAACAATGCCAATCAAAATAAAACACTCTATTAATAGACCGTTATATTTAAATTTTCTTTATTTGTAAGTCTTCCTGCAAGAATATTTTCCTGCGAATTTTTTAATGTATTTTATTAAATTTTACTTATTATATATTCTGATTTTACATCTTACAGTTTGTTAAATGGTAGTTATAATATTTTAAAAATATATATTTCTTGAAATGAGATTTTACTGTCATTTTGATGAGAAATGTACAGCTTCTTTCTTTCTTTCTTCCTTTTATCTTTTCTTATTTTTTTAAATATATTTTTGATTTAATAATGTGTTTTGGATTGAAATTTTTGTTCGTTACATGCTTCTTAAATACATATCACGTTACTTTTCTGAATTTTGTGTACATATATGCAACTGTTTATCATTTGTTGCAGACGTGTGTGGTAACTTGTGTATTTTTGACAAAGCTTATAAAATGTGACAATCATATGACACTTTATTTTACATTATGTTGCTATGTTCAGTGAAGTGTTTCTACTGTATTCTAAGCCATTATATTTTTTGTTAATGGAATTTAAGAAATGTTGAAAACAAGTTCCAACTTGAATAAAAGTGCACTTTAAAAAGTATGTGCAAAGCAATAGCAATAATTTTGTAATGCTAATGTAGCTAAACGTTTTCTACGAAATACTAAAAAATATTAAAAATATTTAAAAAAACTGCTTTAAATTAATTGGAGTCAGTGCAACCTGTCTTCTTATAAGCTAGTTAGATTCATAGTTATGTGTTAATAATATATAAATAGTTCTGTATTTAAATTGTGAGTTTCGTACTGCGATGATGCTAAACCATTTGTGATAATTTTATTTAAATATTTCATAACATTAAATTATATGTGAGTTTTTAACATCATACTCTTCTTTTAAATGTTCTGTAGCTAAAAGTTAGTGTGGATTATTTGTTAGAAAAATCTTAATTCTTTTTCTTCACAAGAATTTTGAAAAAAAGTATTTTGTGTTGTGCCAACAGAATTTTATCGTTTGCGACTTTTATACAAAAACATTATTCCTATTTAAAAGACTATTAAAGTATTATAAAAAGTGTATAGTGTATATTATATAGTGCCAGATAAAAGAATGTATTTTGTCATAAATAAATATTTACAAATTTTCTAGGTTGTGATAAATTATAATGAATTTGGTATAATGTATTGGTTTAATTCTAAGCTAGCAACTAACAGCTGGTTTTCTAAATTCTTTTAACTGTTTTATATAAATTATATAGTCATAATTATAGACTCGGTGAAAATATTTTCAAAATCTAAAATCATAAATATTTGGTTAAATGTAAAGCGTATGTATTGTATTTGATCTGTGCATGTACAAATTCTGTATTTTTAGTCATGTTCCATTTTTATATCTTCTTGAAAGTGCAATAGCTTTTAATATTGTAGCTAGTGTGAATAATAAATTATCTTTGTAAATTAAAAGAGCTGTCATTACTAAATATAGAATAAAATTATTGCAAAATTATTTCAAATTTAAGCTCACTTTTTATTCGGACATTTTAGATGTAAAATTAGGGTGGGACTTAAATTCAGATTGAATATTTTAACAGGTCTGCTGATCCCTCATGATTATGAAAATGTTTCCCTGAAGAAATTGTCAAAAATTCTTTTTTTCTTTTAAATGTGTCATTTCAAATTATTTAAATGACACTGTAGATCATGAACTGTGATGCAATGTTGAAAGTGATATTATGTCTAAAGATTTTTGATAAATTTGATAGCTAATTTTCTTTATGCTGGTACAGTCAAAAGTCGTTAATTCGGACACCCATAATTCGGAATGATCTATAATCCAGACCTCAAAACTAAAAACTTTCTGCGCATGCGCCGCGTTGACACATGCGCATAGGCGTTTACGTGTGCGCGTAAGACCTTTTACGACTGCGCATATGAGTGTGCGCAAGTGCAGAATACGTTTTCGCGTGCGCGTTTTATGTATAATGGATGTATAAGCTAAAATTATCTAATTATCTATTTCAGTTAATGTTGATGATTGCTTTGTTCCTTAATTTTCGAATTGGATCCGGCTTATTATTTTTTGCAGATTGTAAGAGCAATTTTATAAAAGTAAGCTTAAACTTTCAATTATATCAAATAGAATTTCCGATATATATTTGTTAATATGTAAAGGATCTAAAGCGAAAGTATGTTTTGAAATCCGAAATCTGTTTATCAAGCTGCTCGGCGGGGGGAACGCCGCGCGGCGGGCGCGTAATGAATTGGAAGTTGATCTGTCAGCACTATCCTTGTCTTCAGGGCAGATGTTTTTATTTTATTTGGCTTATAATTGAAGATCAGATGTTTTTATTTTATTTGGCTTATAATTCCTTACCAAATGTAGTATTTCATCTCGATATGCTCCGTCTTTGATATGATTTAAAACAAGTTCCTCGTCATTATAATTCGCTTCCGGTAGCGAAGAAAAGTAACAGAGGTTATTGAAAACGAAAAAATTTCGATTGACAAATTAGTCGGTGTTCTTGACACAGCAATTATAGGACTTGAACAGCGGAACTTTGTAACTGAACAAGAAATTATGTCTGTTTAATAGAATTAAAGAGAAAGTATTATCACATGAAACGAAGCAAAACTTAAACAACTTACATTGAAAGAAATGTTTATTTAAGTAAACAAATAAATATTAAGCTTTTTCTTTTTGCAAATTTTGATACCCTTTAGATCATAATTGTTCTTTATTTCATAAATTACGGTTTCATATTTTTAATTTTAGAATTTCTGCATGCCATCTTACAAGATTTAAACTGATGATCTATAATCCGGAAAAATCGATAATCCGGAATCGCCGAAGTCCCGACGAGTCCGGATTAATAACTTTTGACTGTACTAAATAAGTAATATTTGAGTCTATCTTTTGATACCTATCATAAAATCAGTGTTATCTTCTACTTTTTTTATTTTTCAGTTTTAAAGTCGCTCATAGCCATTTGTATTTTTCCCAATATATATATTTCATATGTAATAAATAAGCTAAAAGCATGAATGGACTTTAAAATTAAAAATCTAGTGCTACTGCTGCTGAGATTGTAAATTTAAATTTAATTATTGTATTTTAATTTTGATTATCCTAAAAAATGCATAGCAAAAACTATTGCAAAATGAACCTAATTAATAAAAATTAATTAAAATTGAGATAAAACTATGGAAAAAGTAGAAGTTTTAAATTATAATGAAATTCATAATAAAAACTCAAAGTATTCATATCAGAAGGAAATTAATTATCATTGATCTCATGGAAGAAGGCTGTCTTTTCAAGGATAATTAGTCTTCTTCCACAAAATCATCAATAATTAAGGAAGATCACATTTTATTTCATTTATATATTTGAACGAACTGTTTTTCGAAATGCAAAAAAAGGCCAAAAAATATAATATTTCTGAAATTTAAATAGAATATTTCAAATCCTTGAAATCTCCACCCTTTTCCTCTCTTACTTTTTCCATACACACACACATATATATACACACTCAAATTTAATTAGAATCTTTCAAATATTTGAAGAAAATCTCCATTTTCCTCTTTTTTTTTTTTTTTTTTTTTTTTTTTCCCCATACATATAAATGACTTGGTCAACAGAGACACATGAGTGGGATGTGTGTTGTGCAGTCCTATATCCAACAGTTTCCGCTGAACTGTGTGTTCTGAAACACACTTGACCTGTATCATATTGGGCTATCAACTGAGCCACTGCCTTGCACCTATTTCGCTGTGCCAAGTGAGGCAATCTTAGATGTCCTTTTCATTTGATGACGTGTGGACGTCCAACACTTTGGCTTCTACTGCTGGTGTCACCGTCATTAGTTCACTTTGCAAAAATACTAACAACAGCAGATCATGAACACCCTACCAGTCAATACAGTTTCAGAGATGCCTGTTCCAAGTCTTTAGGCCTTTACAGTATGTCCTCTTATCAAATTCATTTAGACTAGTAGCCTTCTCCATCACTTGCAAAAGTAAGTACAAGAATGATTCCTTACCTTCTCAAGCAGCAATTAAATACCTTTCCCACTTAATCACATACATCATCTAGGCAAGTTCATTGAAAAAGGTGGGATGGTTATGATGTTTTGGCTCGTCAGTGTGTTGTTGCTTATTAGAAATTCATAAGCATCTAAACAGACAGATCTCATAAAGAAGAAAACTTGAATTTTTATTTCAACTTCTAGTGCTTGCAATTTTACAATTGAGGGACATCAGCTGAAATAGATCAAGAACTTGGAATATTACTTTGTAATTCTTTTTAGCACAAGAATGAGTGTTGTTGAGAAGAAAATTTTCCTTCGTAAAAACACCATGCCTCTGTGTTAAAGAAAAGATACTTGTATGTGATATTCATTCTGTACATGAGATTGAAAATAATCTGAAGTTTTGTGCTTTTGATTTTATTAAATAAAGAGCTTACTACTTCTGTCAATCATATTTTCATATCTTTAAAATAATATCAATTAGAGCCTCTTTATAAAAAGTTATGGTGACAGATTTTTGTCTGCAGAGTAACCTTCTTGTCTTCGGAAACATTACGCCATTCGGCCATGCTTTCTGCATCCTGAATAAAGGTAGTAATACCTTTCCATCAGTTTGTACCATCCTAAATTACAAAGCTGTCAAGCGTACCTAATACCTTGTGTGTTGTTATGGAATGTGGAACTCCTTGCAAAATAAAATGACTTTTGCCCCAGAGATAGTTAATTAATATACCAAACAAATACTAGCAACTTCACATAAATGCAAATTGTATTATCATGAGATTGCTTAGCAAAGTACAGGCATATTTATATGTAATAGAAATAAGTAATGTCAACTTTGATTAGGTCACACAAGTAAATAATTTGTCAATGCTGGTAATAATAGAAAACAGTATACCAATTTCAGGTAGATCATCTTCATATGTTTCAATAGCATCCTGCGTCTGGTTATTGCTTTCTTATCATAAAAATGCCATGTTGTCAATTGATGTGATATCCAGAAGCCATATCAATGACCTTACACATAACAGGATCATTGGAAGTCCACACTTACTGGTGTGTATTATGTCACTGATTATTTATGTGAAACACAGTTTCAGCGGGAAAATAAAACCGGTTATAACTTCCGAATGAATGCCTATCTTTCTCCGTCACTTTGACGGAGGTTAAGACATTTAAGGAAAGAAAAGTCCACAAACTTCATTAGAATATTTTGAAGCAGGAGATGTGAAAAATGTACAGTGCTGTCACCTGGACTCGAACCCCGAACTTTTCGAATACGTGTCGAGTATGCTTCCAGTTTCACCACGAAGCATGTGGAACAAAGGAAGAAAATACCTTATTACTCCCCATTTTTAAGGGCAAATGGGGATGAGCGGACCCAATCGCAAAATCCTGGTGGCGACGAATTATCGTCCACCGCCTTTTAGTTCGATTGCCACTGGTAGAGTAATTAGGTTATTTTGAAGCAGGAGATGTGAAAAATGTGCAATGCTCTCGCTGGTACTCGAGCCCTGAACCTTTCGAATACACGTCGAGTATGTTTCCAGTTATACCCTGAAGGCATGCGGAAAGGAGGGAGAAAATATCTTATACACATCACAGCCTTATTCTTGAGAAAGTGCAATGAATTTTCAAGAGCTTGTAAAATGTTTTGTTTCTGAAAGTACTAAATGTGATTACCTTGGCCGTGCACATCCAACGCTAGTGACTTTTCATTGCTGTCAGAGTGAGTGGGATAACTACAAAAGTACTCCTGCTTTCATACGAAATTGGTCCCCAGACCATAACTCCAGGTGTAGGTCCAGAGTGTCTATGCCGCAGACAGGTTTGTTAAAAGCCCTCAACTGGACTTCTTCTAACAAACACACGGCCATCACTGGCACCAAGGCAGGACCAGCTTTCATGAGAAAGCATAACAGACCTTCACTCTGTCTTCCAATGAGCTCTAGCTCGACACCACTGACGTCACAAATGGCAGTGGTTTGGAGTCAGTGGAATACACGCTATTGAACTTCTGGCTCGAAGCAGCCGATTTGGAACAGTTTGTTGTATCCCTGTGGTGCTAACTGCAGCTCGAGTTTCTGCTGCAGACACAGTGCGATGCGCCGCAGTTATACGCCAAATAAAATGATCTTCCCTCTCAGTAGTGCCACGTGGCAATCCAGAACTCGGTCTTCTTAAGACAGTACCTTCCCTTGACCACCGCTGCCAATTATCATGCACAGTGGATATATTCCTGCCAAATCTTTCTACAATATCTCGGAAAGAAAATCCAATTTCTCGTAGCCTTATTACACAACCTCGTTCAAAATCACTGAGCTATCGATAATGGCTTCTTCATCATCTTAAAGGCATTCTTGACTAACATCAACTTACTACGTCAAATCTCGACGATGAATAATGCTCACGAACTTTACAGCGCGTATTTAAAGCAAA